TCTCTGCGTGAGTCTGTGGGTCTCTGCGTGAGTCTGTGGGACTCTGTGTGAGTCTGTGGGTCTCTGTGTGAGTCTATGGGTCATCTGTGTGAGTCTATGGGTCTCTGCGTGAGTCTATGGGTCTCTGTGTGAGTCTATGGGTCTCTGCGTGAGTCTATGGGTCTCTGTGTAAGTCTATGGGTCTCTGCGTGAGTCTATGGGTCTCTGTGTGAGTCTATGGGTCATCTGTGTGAGTCTATGGGTCTCTGCGTGAGTATCTGTGGGTCTCTGTGTGAGTCTATGGGTCTCTGTGTGAGTCTATGGGTCTCTGTGTGAGTCTATGGGTCTCTGTGTGAGTCTATGGGTCTCTGTGTGAGTCTATGGGTCTCTGTGTGAGTCTATAGGTGATCTGTGAGTCTATGGGTCATCTGTGTGAGTCTATGGGTCTCTGTGTGAGTCTATGGGTCTCTTGCGTGTGTCTGTGGGTCTCTGCGTGCGTCTGTGGGTCTCTGTGTGAGTCTGTGGGTCTCTGTGTGAGTCTATGGGTCATCTGTGTCAGTCTATGGGTCATCTGTGTCAGTCTATGAGTCTCTGTGTGTGAGACTATGGGTCTCTGTGTGGGTCTATGGGTCTCTGTGTGAGTCTATGGGTCTCTGTGTGAGTCTATGGGTCTCTGCGTGAGTCTATGGGTCTCTGTGTGAGTCTATGGGTCTCTGCGTGAGTCTGTGGGTCTCTGCGTGAGTCTGTGGGTCTCTGCGTGAGTCTGTGGGTCTCTGTGTGAGTCTATGGGTCATCTATGTGAGTCTATGGGTCATCTGTGTGAGTCTATGCGTCTCTGTGTGAGTCTATGGGTCTCTGTGTGAGTCTATGGGTCTCTGTGTGGGTCTATGGGTCTCTGTGTGAGTCTATGGGTCTCTGTGTGAGTCTATGGGTCTCTGTGTGAGTCTATGGGTCTCTGCGTGAGTCTATGGGTCTCTGTGTAAGTCTATGGGTCTCTGCGTGAGTCTATGGGTCTCTGTGTGAGTCTATGGGTCATCTGTGTGAGTCTATGGGTCTCTGCGTGAGTATCTATGGGTCTCTGTGTGAGTCTATGGGTCTCTGTGTGAGTCTATGGGTCTCTGTGTGAGTCTATGGGTCTCTGTGTGAGTCTATGGGTCTCTGTGTGAGTCTGTGGGTCTCTGTGTGAGTCTATGGGTCTCTGTGTGAGTCTATAGGTGATCTGTGAGTCTATGGGTCATCTGTGTGAGTCTATGGGTCTCTGTGTGAGTCTATGGGTCTCTGCGTGTGTCTGTGGGTCTCTGCGTGAGTCTGTGGGTCTCTGTGTGAGTCTGTGGGTCTCTGTGTGAGTCTATGGGTCATCTGTGTCAGTCTATGGGTCATCTGTGTCAGTCTATGAGTCTCTGTGTGTGAGACTATGGGTCTCTGTGTGGGTCTATGGGTCTCTGTGTGAGTCTATGGGTCTCTGTGTGAGTCTATGGGTCTCTGCGTGAGTCTATGGGTCTCTGTGTGAGTCTATGGGTCTCTGCGTGAGTCTATGGGTCTCTGTGTGAGTCTATGGGTCATCTGTGTGAGTCTATGGGTCTCTGCGTGAGTATCTATGGGTCTCTGTGTGAGTCTATGGGTCTCTGTGTGAGTCTATGGGTCTCTGTGTGAGTCTATGGGTCTCTGCGTGAGTGTCTATGGGTCTCTGTGTGAGTCTATGGGTCTCTGCGTGAGTCTATGGGTCTCTGTGTGAGTCTATGGGTCTCTGCGTGAGTCTATGGGTCTCTGTGTGAGTCTATGGGTCATCTGTGTGAGTCTATGGGTCTCTGCGTGAGTATCTATGGGTCTCTGTGTGAGTCTATGGGTCTCTGTGTGAGTCTATGGGTCTCTGTGTGAGTCTATGGGTCTCTGTGTGAGTCTATGGGTCTCTGTGTGAGTCTGTGGGTCTCTGTGTGAGTCTATGGGTCTCTGTGTGAGTCTATAGGTGATCTGTGAGTCTATGGGTCATCTGTGTGAGTCTATGGGTCTCTGTGTGAGTCTATGGGTCTCTGCGTGTGTCTGTGGGTCTCTGCGTGCGTCTGTGGGTCTCTGTGTGAGTCTGTGGGTCTCTGTGTGAGTCTATGGGTCATCTGTGTCAGTCTATGGGTCATCTGTGTCAGTCTATGAGTCTCTGTGTGTGAGACTATGGGTCTCTGTGTGGGTCTATGGGTCTCTGTGTGAGTCTATGGGTCTCTGTGTGAGTCTATGGGTCTCTGCGTGAGTCTATGGGTCTCTGTGTGAGTCTATGGGTCTCTGCGTGAGTCTATGGGTCTCTGTGTGAGTCTATGGGTCATCTGTGTGAGTCTATGGGTCTCTGCGTGAGTATCTATGGGTCTCTGTGTGAGTCTATGGGTCTCTGTGTGAGTCTATGGGTCTCTGTGTGAGTCTATGGGTCTCTGCGTGAGTGTCTATGGGTCTCTGTGTGAGTCTATGGGTCTCTGTGTGAGTCTATGGGTCTCTGTGTGAGTCTATGGGTCTCTGCGTGAGTGTCTATGGGTCTCTGTGTGAGTCTATGGGTCTCTGCGTGAGTCTGTGGGTCTCTGCGTGAGTCTGTGGGACTCTGTGTGAGTCTGTGGGTCTCTGTGTGAGTCTATGGGTCATCTGTGTGAGTCTATGGGTCTCTGCGTGAGTCTATGGGTCTCTGTGTGAGTCTATGGGTCTCTGCGTGAGTCTATGGGTCTCTGTGTAAGTCTATGGGTCTCTGCGTGAGTCTATGGGTCTCTGTGTGAGTCTATGGGTCATCTGTGTGAGTCTATGGGTCTCTGCGTGAGTATCTATGGGTCTCTGTGTGAGTCTATGGGTCTCTGTGTGAGTCTATGGGTCTCTGTGTGAGTCTATGGGTCTCTGTGTGAGTCTGTGGGTCTCTGTGTGAGTCTATGGGTCTCTGTGTGAGTCTATAGGTGATCTGTGAGTCTATGGGTCATCTGTGTGAGTCTATGGGTCTCTGTGTGAGTCTATGGGTCTCTGCGTGTGTCTGTGGGTCTCTGCGTGCGTCTGTGGGTCTCTGTGTGAGTCTGTGGGTCTCTGTGTGAGTCTATGGGTCATCTGTGTCAGTCTATGGGTCATCTGTGTCAGTCTATGAGTCTCTGTGTGTGAGACTATGGGTCTCTGTGTGGGTCTATGGGTCTCTGTGTGAGTCTATGGGTCTCTGTGTGAGTCTATGGGTCTCTGCGTGAGTCTATGGGTCTCTGTGTGAGTCTATGGGTCTCTGCGTGAGTCTATGGGTCTCTGTGTGAGTCTATGGGTCATCTGTGTGAGTCTATGGGTCTCTGCGTGAGTATCTATGGGTCTCTGTGTGAGTCTATGGGTCTCTGTGTGAGTCTATGGGTCTCTGTGTGAGTCTATGGGTCTCTGCGTGAGTGTCTATGGGTCTCTGTGTGAGTCTATGGGTCTCTGCGTGAGTCTATGGGTCTCTGTGTGAGTCTATGGGTCTCTGTGTGAGTCTATGGGTCTCTGCGTGAGTGTCTATGGGTCTCTGCGTGAGTGTCTATGGGTCTCTGTGTGAGTCTATGGGTCTCTGTGTGAGTCTATGGGTCTCTGTGTGAGTCTATGGGTCTCTGCGTGAGTGTCTATGGGTCTCTGCGTGAGTGTCTATGGGTCTCTGTGTGAGTCTATGGGTCTCTGTGTGAGTCTATGGGTCTCTGTGTGAGTCTATGGGTCTCTGCGTGAGTGTCTATGGGTCTCTGCATGAGTGTCTATGGGTCTCTGTGTGAGTCTATGGGTCTCTGTGTGAGTCTATGGGTCTCTGTGTGAGTCTATGGGTCTCTGCGTGAGTCTATGGGTCTCTGCGTGAGTCTATGTATGTTCGTTTAACGTCCTTCGCACCGTACGTAGCCAACCGCACTAATCGGAGGTGCGGGGGAAGGACAATAACTAAACACAAAGATAATTTGATGTAATTAACTCAATGAGGCCGCCCACACGTCATGTCTCCTGAAGGTGGGAAACCCCTCAATAAGCCACACCCAGCGAGAAGTGCCTGATGATGCTAATAACATCACCAAGGCCCACCCATCACCTCCCGCCCAGCGGCAGACATCGGACGCAGGAGGTGAGACGTTTTTTTTTCCTTTTTCTATTTTTGAGTTATCCGAGTAAGCAAACCAACCACCGGTAGAAACATCAAATTGTGTTAAATACTGGGATAGCACTGCCCTAATGAGAAGTCAACAGTGATTGTGTTTCAGGGGAAAGCGCGGGAATTTTACTTGCTTGCTCAGAACCACTAACAGATACGAGCAGAGTCAAACACTAATTTAGGCCGAAGGAGGAGGACGATTTATCCGCAACTCTGGCTTGTCGCTTGATGATGCTGATTGCAATCACCGGCGAAACGTCGCGTATACTGGAATTGTAAATGTTGTAGCGGGTTCCCTCGCCAACACACAACCGGTTAGTGCTGAACTAGTAACTAATTGGCATGTTTGTTCACGTGTCACACCTTAATCATTTGGCTGTGTCGGGTGGTGGTGGTGGTGGTGGTGGTGGCCGGTTTAAACGACACATTTATATTTACGCGATCTAACCATTAAAAAAAAAACCTCTATTATGGATAATATTGGTCGCGAAAGTCTCTTACCACGTGTTAAACGGACTCATTTTAACGGTGACCCCTTTGACCTTTAGGTGGCAGAGTGACGCAGCAGTAACAACTTGCGCCCTGCAGCAAGAGGGAAATGGATTAACTTCCTAACCCGGGCATCTTTCTTACTTGGGTGGCGTTTGTACGTTCTGCGCACCCCCCCCCACCTCCCCGCTCTGCAGTCGATTTTTATCCCGATTCTCCAGTTACGTAAGAATGTCATTGGCGTTGACCGAACAACCCACAGTGCCGCAAGGAGCCTCTCGGAAAAGGAGCCATCGGATTCAGCGTGGCTTTCCTGGGCAAAAAATGTGTTGCATATTTATATATATGTGTGTGTGTGTGTAGCGTGACGCTCAGGTCTGCGCAACAAAAGTGGGGGGTTGTGGGAAGAGAGATGGAGCAGAGGCTCTCTCACCTGTGCTCTGAGCCCGGACCGGGTGTCCGCTTTTGGGAAACGGTGCGTAGCTGCCCGAAGAACCTGACCCTCCGAACGAATCGAAGTTTGCGAAGTTCGAGCCTCCGGAGCCTGCAAATACAAACGTTGAGATTGAGGGCGGTGAGCGGGCAACACGGCAAGGAACGCGGCAAAAGGTAACCTATACACAACTCTACGTGGCTTGCTAACCAAGACACAACACTACGTGGCTTGCTAACCTATACACAACTCTACGTGGCTTGCTAGCCTATACATAACTATACATGGCTTGCTAGCCTATACACAACTCTACGTGGCTTGCTAACCTATACACAACTCTACGTAGCTTGCTAACCTATACACAACTCTACGTGGCTTGCTAGGCTATACACAATACTGTTGGTTGCTAACCGATACACAACTCTACGTGGGTTACTAACCTATACACAACCCTATATGGCTTGCTAACCTATACACAACTCTACGTTGTGTATAGGAGGGAGAAGTTAATAGACTTTTCAAGAGGCAGAATCCACGCAAAGCAGCCGGGCCGGACTCTGTCTCTCCAGCCACCCTCAGGCACTGCGCTGACCAGCTGTCTCCGGTGTTCACCAACATCTTTAACACCTCCCTGGAGACATGCCATGTACCAGCCTGTCTCAAGTCCTCCACCATCATCCCTGTGCCCAAAAAGCTAAGGCCAACAGGACTAAATGATTACAGACCGGTCGCCCTTACATCTGTGGTAATGAAGTCTTTTGAGCGCCTGGTCCTGGCACACCTCAAAGCCATCACAGACCCTCTCCTGGACCCCCTTCAGTTTGCCTACAGAGCCAACAGGTCTGTGGATGATGCAGTTAACATGGCCCTCCACTTCACCCTACAGCATCTGGACGCCCCAGCATCCTACGCCAGGATCCTGTTTGTGGACTTCAGCTCTGCCTTCAACACCATCATCCCTGCCCTGCTTCAGGACAAGCTCTTCCAGCTGAACGTGCCATACACCACCTGTAAATGGATCACAGACTTCCTGTCTGACAGGAAGCAGTGCGTTAAGCTGGGAACACAAGTCTCTGACTCCAGGTCCATCAGCACCGGAACTCCTCAGGGCTGCGTCCTTTCCCCTCTGCTCTTCTCCCTGTATACCAACAGCTGCACCTCCAATCATCTGTCCGTCAAACTATTGAAGTTTGCGGATGACACCACCCTCATTGGGCTGATCTCTGGTGGGGATGAGTCTGACTATAGGTGGGAAGCTGACAATCTGGTGACCTGGTGTAGCCAGAACAACTTAGAGCTAAATGCTCTAAAGACAGTTGAGATGGTTGTGGACTTCAGGAAGAATACAGCACCACTCACCCCCATCACCCTGTTAGACTCCCCAGTCAAAATTGTAGAGTCCTTCCGCTTCCTGGACACTATTCTCTCCCGGGACCTCAAGTGGGAATTGAACATCAGCTCCCTCACCAAGAAAGCTCAACAGAGGATGTACTTTCTACGGCAGCTGAAGAAATTCAACCTGCCAAAGACAATGATGGTGCAATTCTATACAGCGATCATTGAATCCATCCTCACCTCCTCCATAACCGTCTGGTACGCTGCTGCCACTGCCAAGGACAAGAGCAGACTGCAGCGTATCATCCACACTGCTGAGAAGATAATTGCCTGCAATCTACCGACCCTCGAGGACCTGCACACGACAAGGTCTATGAGGCGAGCGAGGAAGATTATGGCCGATTTCTCCCACCCTGGACACTCTCTGTTTCAGCTACTCCCCTCCGGCAGAAGGCTTCGGTCCATCAGGACCAAAACCTCACGCCATAAAAACAGTTTCTTCCCATCTGCTGCTGGCCTGTTAAACAAGGCCAAGGGCTAACACTGTTTTTAACATTTGATCTACATAACGACACCTTGCTGATATTAACTATGTTACCCTATTTGTATTTTTAAATTATATCTTAAAGCTATTTTATATTCGATATTTATTTAATTCTATATACTTCAGCCCCTTGGTGTTAGACTTTTAACCCTTATTATAGTAAGACTTGTTTAAAACTTATTTAAGATTTTAGATTCCTATATGTTGAATGTATGCACCATCCTGCCAAAGTAAATTCCGTGTCGGTGTGAACTTACATGGCGAATAAAACCCTTTCTGATTCTGATTCTACGTGGCTTGCTAACCTATACACACCTCTACGTGGCTTGCTAGCCTATACACAACTCTACGTTGGCTTGCTAGCCTATACACAACTCTACGTTGGCTTGATAACCTATACACAACTCTATATGGCTTGCTAATCTATACACAACTCTACGTGGCTTGCTAACCTATACACAACTCTACGTAGCTTGCTAACCTATACACAACTTTACGTGGCTTGTTAACCTATACACAACTCTACGTGGCTTGCTAACCTATACACAACTCTACGTGGCTTGCTAGGCTATACACAATACTGTTGGTTGCTAACCGATACACAACTCTACGTGGGTTACTAACCTATACACAACCCTATATGGCTTGCTAACCTATACACAACTCTACGTTGGCTTGCTAACCTATACACAATTCTACGTGGCTTGCTAACCTATACACAACTCTACGTGGCTTGCTAGCCTATACACAACTCTACGTTGGCTTGATAACCTATACACAACTCTACATGGCTTGCTAACCTATACACAACTCTACATGGCTTGCTAGCCTAAACACAACTCTACGTGGCTTGCTAGCCTATACACAACTCTACGTGGCTTGTTAACCTATACACAACTCTACGTGGCTTGCTAACCTATACACAACTCTACGTAGCTTGCTAACCTATACACAACTCTACGTGGCTTGCTAGGCTATACACAATACTGTTGGTTGCTAACCGATACACAACTCTACGTGAGTTACTAACCTATACACAACCCTATATGGCTTGCTAACCTATACACAACTCTACGTTGGCTTGATAACCTATAAACAACTCTACATGGCTTGCTAACCTATACACAACTCTACATGGCTTGCTAGCCTATACACAACTCTACCTGGCTTGCTAGCCTATACACAACTCTACCTGGCTTGTTAACCTATACACAACTCTACGTTGGCTTGATAACCTATACACAACTCTACGTGGCTTGCTAACCTATACACAACTCTACATGGCTTGCTAACCTATACACAACTTTACATGGCTTGCTAACCTATACACAACTCTACGTGGCTTGCTAGGCTATACACAATACTGTTGGTTGCTAACCGATACACAACTCTACGTGGGTTACTAACCTATACACAACCCTATATGGCTTGCTAACCTATACACAACTCTACGTTGGCTTGCTAACCTATACACAACTCTACGTGGCTTGCTAACCTATACACAACTCTACGTGGCTTCCTAACCTATACGCAACTCTACGTTGGCTTGCTAGCCTATACACAACTCTACGTGGCTTGCTAACCTATACACAACTCTACATGGCTTGCTAACCTATACACAACTCTACATGGCTTGCTAACCTATACACAACTCTACGTGGCTTCCTAACCTATACACAACACTACGTGGCTTCCTAACCTATACACAACTCTATGTGGCTTCCTAACCTATACACAACTCTACGTTGGCTTGCTAGCCTATACACAACTCTACGTGGCTTGCTAACCTATACACAACACTAACCGTCTAACACTGACGGTTAGTGTTGCGCAATGTCGCGTGAAGCCTACAGCGACGATGGCGACGATCTTGAAGAACACGACGGGGATCCCACTTCCAGCAACAGCCCTGAGGTCCCCCACAAGGGCCCCTGTTACACTCCCAGCGTGGCCTTGCTCCGCCCCGGCCACGCCCCCTCTCTGGAACCTACCAGCGGTTTCTCGAGGCTTCCCGATGGGCCCCCCCCTCTGTGACCTTTGCCCTAGATGTCCCCCCCTCGTGTCTATCATGGCCTGCTGACTTCAATACTGCAGTACACCGCAGTTCCCCTTTTTCGCCAGCAGCCAGCACTATGCCACTACACATTCATGGGGCGGAGCAGCGGCACTATTGTTAGCACACTGCGCTTCAGAAACTGTATCATTCCGCGTTACTGTATCATTCCGCGTTACTGTATCATTCCGCATTACTGTATCATTCCGCGTTACTGTATCATTCCGCGTTACTGTATCATTCCGCGTTACTGTATCATTCCGCGTTACTGTATCATTCCGCATTACTGTATCATTCCGCGTTACTGTATCCGCATTACTGTATCATTCCGCGTTACTGTATCATTCCGCGTTACTGTATCCGCATTACTGTATCATTCCGCGTTACTGTATCATTCCGCGTTACTGTATCCGCATTACTGTATCATTCCGCGTTACTGTATCATTCCGCGTTACTGTATCCGCATTACTGTATCATTCCGCGTTACTGTATCATTCCGCGTTACTGTATCATTCCGCGTTACTGTATCATTCCGCATTACTGTATCATTCCGCGTTACTGTATCATTCCGCGTTACTGTATCCGCATTACTGTATCATTCCGCGTTACTGTATCATTCCGCGTTACTGTATCCGCATTACTGTATCATTCCGCGTTACTGTATCATTCCGCGTTACTGTATCCGCATTACTGTATCATTCCGCGTTACTGTATCATTCCACGTACCGTATCACTGTCAAGCGGAAGGTGGAGCGCGTTTCTCACCGGCAGCGACGGAGGGGAAGCCGGGAAAGGCGCTGCCCGGTGGTGGCGGAGGAGGAGGGGGGGGTTGAGTCGAGGTGCCGAACGGATCCCCTGGCAGGTCCTCCATCAGCTCAACCGGGGCCGGTCGACGGGAGTGAGCGGGTGGCAGAGCCTGCGGGCGGCTCACTACGGGAGACTGGAGCACGAAGACACAAAAGACAAAGATCCCCCGTATAGCCTTAACAGACTGTTGGGGCAAGTGCTGTTAGCGAGTAGCAACCTTTGAAGGCCGGCACGGCACACGAGGGGGTGGGTGGCCAGCACCACGCCCGACCGCCTTTGTCTCCCCAGTGGCGGTGTTTTTTTATGCATCGCGCAGGGTACTCATTTGAGGCCGAGTCGAACCTTGGGGAGGCTCAGGACCGGTTCAGATAATCGTCACTGGTGTTGGTAGCCCCGAGCAGGAATCAAACACGGGTTGCCGGGTTTGTAGCGCAGCGGGCTAACCACTGCGCCACCGCACGTTGACACAGACACACACACACGGAGTGGCAGGGTGGCTGGCGAGATGGTGGTGTGGTGGCGTGGTGGAGTGGTGGAGTGGTGGGGTGGAGTGGTGGTGGGGTGGTGGCGTGGTGGAGTGGTGGAGTGGTGGGGTGGAGTGGTGGTGGAGTGGTGGAGTGGTGGAGTGGTGGAATGGTGGTGTGGTGGGGTGGTGGAGTGGTGGAGTGGTGGTGTGGTGGGGTGGTGGAGTGGTGGGGTGGTGGTGTGGTGGGGTGGAGTGGAGGGGTAGTGGTGGGGTTGTGGAGTGGTGGTGTGGTGGAGTGGTGGGGTGGTGGCGTGGTGGAGTGGTGGAGTGGTGGCGTGGTGGAGTGGTGGAGTGGTGGGGTGGCAGGGTGGTGGAGTGGCGGGCTGGCCGGTGGGGCGGCTGCGTCGGCGTCGCTCCCCGCACCTGCGTAGGCGTGTGCCGCAGCCCGTCGAGCGTCGGCGTGCCGGACCCCGCGGGCCCCGCGCATCGGAGCGGCCGCACCTCGGGGGTGCTGCTGCCGCTGCTGGCGGAGGAGCCCGAGAGCGACGCGTGTAGCGCCGCCACGGTGCGCGCCTGCTCGGGCGCCACGAACCTGCGGGGGTGGGTGGGTGGGGGGTGGGGTGGGGTGGGGTGGAGGGGCGTGACAATGAGCGGGGGCGGCGGTGGTCACCGGGCGGGGTGTGTCAGCTACGGGAGCGAGTCTGTACGCGCGTACCCCATGTGAGGAAGGACGTTCCAGACGGACGCAGAAGCGTACCTGAAAGCGTGCGACTCAGTGGGTCTCCGTATGATGAGCCTATGGGTTTCTGTGCGAGTCTATGGGTCTCGATGTATGTATGTATGTTGAACTTCTTTCGCCACCTACGTAGACAACCGTTTTAATCGGGGAAGGACAACAAACTAAAGACAAAAAGCAGTTCTAAAGAAATGAGTTTTACATTTTAGATGATTTAAAAGTGCATAGCTCCAGTGGCTTCCTACGAAGTCCCGCTTTACGAGCGTAATTAATAACAAATATTATTGAACTATTATTTGTCGAGTGTTTTTTCAGAATGTAAATCGGGATTGGTGGGAGCCGTGCCAGAGGCTTCCAAGTAAAATGTCGTTTATCTCCGTAATTTATCCATATTATTTAAGCGGGGTGTCTGTAAACGAATCGCCGTGCACAGTAAATCTGAAGGCAATCAACGCGCACGAGTCAATAACGCCGCCTTATTTTGCATCATTAACGAATGTGTAGAGTTTTTGTTTTATCTGTTAACAGCGCTTGTGCACCAATGCCAATGCAGCAGCAGCCACGCACGTACGCATGTTGAACTTCCTTCACACCGTACGTAGCCAACCGTGCTCATCTCTACGTGTCTCTAAGGGGCTCTTTCGTGTCTCTATGTGTCTGGGAGTCTGTGTGTCTCTGGAACACACAGTTGGCACAGTAGGGGGCACAGGTGGTGCATCAGCCAGTCATCACGGTCGTCTCAGTCAGTCTACCCGTGGCACCTGGGTCTGCCCCGTGACCTCCTGCCAGCGGGCGTTCGATACTTCACGTGGCCTCAAGGTGCACATGGCCAGGCACAAGCATCGTGGTGACGTCAGCGCCACTTTGTGGCGAATGGCAGTTGTTGTTGTTGTTGTCTCTGGGAGTCTATGTATCTCGATGCGTCTCTGGGAGTATATGTATCTATGTTGAATTTTCCTCGCACCGTACGAAGCCAACCGTGTTAATCAGAGGTTGACTTCACTGGACAGACCAGACTGATTTGACTTCACTGGTCATCTGTGCAAAAAGAGCTCCATAGCTCATCGGATTCCTCCGATTCTGATTTGTAAGTGTCTGCATCTGCGGTAGAGCGAGCGGCTCACAAAATCGGAAGGTCGCAAGTTCAAATCCTGGTTGGGGGTTGTCTCAGCCCATCATCCCGCCAGGGTAGATCAAATAAGTAACAATTTGTGGAGAAGTCAACAGTGGTCGTCATACGGATAGATTCACTCCAATCACAGGGATGTGTAATTCCCACCACTAATTCAGGGCTGTAAACAATAGGTGGGTAGCACGTCAATAGTCGTTTGAGACACAAACCACTTTATACTTTTTTGAAATAGAGAGGGACGATGCAGCAATTCATCAAAACAAATTTATTCTTAACATCGTTTTACACGGCATCGGATTCACGTGCATGCCACGATCAGTGTTTTACGATTGGTTTGTGTTGTACGGTAACATCTTTAACCGCCGCCGATTAGCACGGTCGGCTACGTACTGCGCGAAAGAAGTTCAACGTACACACAACCTCGAAGAATGCGCCGAATCCACACCTAGGGGCTCTCGAGCAAAGAATGGCACCGAGGAATAAACATGTAAAGGAATAAACATACACACGTACAGAACGCGGCTGTCAACCTAAGGTGCTGAATTCCACGTGACGCAGCAATGATTCGCGGCAGAGCATCACAACAGCGACGTGTCTTCCGCACTCACCATTTCTTCCTCTCGTATTTTTCCTGCAGGAATTCCTTGGCTTTCTGCGGGTCCTTGAAGTCGGGCGCAAGGGACGACCGTTCGTCGTACAGACCCAGCCAGATGATCCTGCACACCTGTGCGTGACAATGGGCGGCAGACTAGCACCACGAGCATCAGCAGCAGCAGCGGCGGCGGCACCAACATAATACGTACCAGCACGAGAACCACCAACATCTTCAACGCAAACCACCATCATCATCATCAGGATCAATCATCATCAGCACAGGCATCAATCATCATCCACATTATCACCACTGACAGTTGTAGTATTATCAGCATCGTCACCAGCACCACCACTATCATAATCACCACCAGCACTTCCATTAGCATCATCACAAACAGTAGCAGTGTCATCATTAGACCTCCTTTGCCAGTACAAAAATGTAATAATAGGGTTTTTCCCCCTTTTTTCTGGCAACGAAAGTGAAACCTTTTTTTACAAGGATTCATGTCTGCATTAACCACAATACCTGCAGTCAAAATTGCAAAGAAAAAAACATACTATGATAATATATGCATTGTCCTTCAAACTGATTGGTCCACACCAAGGGACGGCTTTCGCTGTACGCCTTTGGCGTCATGTGGTCGAGCACCAATTGGGTCGTCACAGCTCACTTGCCCCCCAAAAAAATACAAAAGTCTATTTTTATAATTTTTTCATGGCGTACAGTCTGGAAAGTACCCACATGGCAAATTTCAAGTTTGTTGCATGTCGGGAAGTACGCTAAACATTTTGAACAGACACACATTCACAAATTTCCCTTTTATATATTTAGAAGATGTAGGTATGAGTCCATATAACCCCTGCAGCCACTAGAGGCACTAACATTCACCAATAATATAATCCATTTGTGTAACTAAACGTTCCACCTCTACTGCACAGTCTCGGATATACATAATCATCCACTCCATGGGGTAAGATGTAATATTTGTTGAAAAATGTTCACAAAAGTAGCATAAGTTGCGAGTAATCGATTCTCCCACGCACGACAGCTGCAGCAATTAACTCGTTCACTTGATCCCAAAGATGGCACGATGTACATAGAATTGTGCTTCGGAGAATCGATCTGCTCACAAGGCAAATTCTAATTAAAAAAACGTCAAAGCCAAGGTTGACATTTTAGTGGTCAATTTGAGCGAAGCTGAAGTCTCCGAGCGGGACGGAGAGCCGCGATAAACGAACCGATTTGGGAAAAACAACGTTCTTGATGCAACTAGAACCCCGGTTTTTTAATGAAATATCGCTAAATTGCTGCTGGTGCAGTGGTGGTGGGGGGGAAGAGGAGGGGGTTTACATCGTGGTCACGTGCAGTGGCGGCCGGTGACGTTTCCACGAGGTGGGGCTGTTGTGAGTGACCTCTGAAAAGATGGTGTTCTACTAATTGAGAAAAACCTCGTCATGTTATTGGCCTTCCCGTGAAAGTGATGCAACTGGCTTACCTACCAGCGGGAGGCATTTATAAACAATACGAAACCAAACAACAAAGCGCTCAAATGCTGTCCCCATGACCCTCAAGGCCACACCACACAAGCCCTGTGACACTGCCAAGAGCTTAGAGCGTGTAGGTGCGTGACGTCCATAAATGACGTCACGCACCTCCAATAATCCGCGGAGCACCGCGTTGACGCGGTGCTCCGCGGATTATTGGAGTTCTGGATGAAATAGTCGCGCGATTTTAATTTATTTTGGTTTCGCCCCCCCCCCCCAAAAAAATATAAATATTCAATGTGAAGACTGAAACAAAATAATAGGTGTTTACCATTCCTGGCAATAAAACGGTTAGTGCTGAACTAGTAACGAATTAGCATGTTTTATTTTTGTGGCCGTCAATAAATGACGTCACGCACCTGGGGGGGGGGGGGTTGAGAAATGTGACGTCACATCAACATGCGCAACTTTAAATAAATATAGACAACACGTTCTACTTAATTAAATAGACTTTTTTAATGTTTTCTCCTGCAACATCAGAGTGCAGCGCCACATTAAACACGCACTACAATAACAATAGTTTAAAGCGAGTTGAAGCATGTTTTATATTTTTTGGGGGGGGGGGCAGAACTTTCTGACGTCATATTTAAGGGGGGGGGGGGGGTCTGACTTTTTGTGACGCCGTGTGACGAGGGGGGGGGGTCAAAAATCATCCAAAATCGCGTGACGTCATTTATGGACGGCCCCTAATCCGAGTCCAGGCCTGCTCACCATTACACCGCCGCAGCAGCTTCCAAAATTACACTGAATAAGCACTCAAGACAAAATCAGTTTGACACGTAGTCTTTCGCGACCAATATTGTACAAAATAATGGGTTTTTTTTTCTTTTGGGTTAGATCCCGGAAGTATAAAAGTGTCAGTTTAACACGTAGTATGCTTTCGCGAACAATATTATCCGTAATAGAGCTTTTTGGGTTGTAACGCTTAAATATAAATGTGTCGTTAAACCCGCCACCACCCGACAAAGCCAATTACTAATGTTTGTCACGTGAACAAAACATGCCAATTCGCGACTAGTACATCACACCGGTGTTTTTAGAGTACTGCTTGCCAGAAGTATAAAAAAATATATCGCCTGATGATGCTGTATGTAATTACCAGCGAAACGTCACGTTACTCAAATTGTAAATGTTGTGGCTTTACTCTACAACACACTATCGGTGGGCTGAACTAGGAACCAATCGGCACGTTTTGTTTACGTGACAAACCTTACCGGTTGGCTGTGTCGGATGGTGGCGGGTTTAACGACACATTTATACTCATGCGATCCAACCCAAAAAAACACTCGGGAAAAGTCTGCCTCTCCTCCAGAAATTAAATAAACATTTATGCGGGTCGGGGAGAGCACGTCTGGTACCGGAGCCAAAAAAAGCTTCGTCAGCACGAATCTCCAGCTGAAGGCGAAACGGCCTTCTTGGCATTCAAAGGATCGCGAGCCGAAAAAAATATATACAGTAAAACCTTGGATTGCGAGTAACTTGGTCTGCGAGTGTTTGGCAAGACGAGCAAGGCTGCACCATTGCCTGAAGCTACCATTCTTGCAAACACTAAACACCGTCCCAATCAGCTTAACACGTCCACGGACGTCCCCTGGCTAATTATCAAGACGATTAAACGAAGGCCTCTCTTACGTCACTCTCGACACGGATGTCCATGATGACAGTGAAAAATGCAGGTTTATTTACAGCGTTCGCTTGGCAGTGCAGAACTAATTATTATCCGCCTGCTCCCGATTAATCACGTTCCCTTTAAGGAAAACGAACGGATAATGACACTGTAACGTGATAACAAATGTTATGTTAATCGCTTCGAAAAGTCAAAGAGTCTCCAACTTGTTCGCCATCGTCGTCAACGCGTGGCCTGGAACCTTCTCCAGATGGCCTCCAGAGCCCCGGAGGCGGCACACTTTCCTTGTGGCGTTGTTGCAAATTCTCAGAAGTTTATGTTTTGAAGCACCCTGTGTTAGCAAGTAATGAAATTGCTGTGGGGCGATGAGGTCTGAGCCGCTCGAAGACGGCCGTGTTGGCGAGTCGGCGAATCCGGCAGCTTAGAGGCCCGTGCACGTGGCCGGCAATCCACTGACGGGTGAGAGCCTCCCCATGCCGTGCGGGCCGCAGGGGTTATTCCAACGCAATTCACGAGCGCGAGTTGGTGAATGTGAGCGGCACAGATGTGGGAGAATGTGCAGGATATTACAGCAAGTGAATCTGTATTCCCTGCCCATCATGTATGTACCCCAGCAGCGACCAATGGCAACCTGTTTTGTATGTTGGTCACCCATCCAAGGCACTATATTCAGGCTCTTCCCCCCCCCCCCCGTGCTTAGCGTCTGACATTTGATGAGATTGGTCACTTTTGTGTTACCGAGGCTACGTGGTGTAGTGGGTAGCTTGGCTGTCGTCGAAGCTGTAAACCTGGGTTCAAATACCACGGTTAAGTTGTTATTTTGTGGGCGCCACGGTGGCTAGGAGATGTTAACTATCTCGCCTGGTGTGCAGGAGGTCGTGGGTTCGATCCCGACCCTGACGGCTGTATATTTGGAGTTTGCGTGTTCTCCTTGTAGTCGCGTGGATTTTTCTCTGGGTCCTCCGGTTTTTCCCTCCACATTTAGAAACGAGCGCTTAAGAGCATTTGGCTGTTATATATTTCCACGTGATAAGCCACTTTGTTGAGCTATCATTTGTGGTCAGGTAACTTCTTAAACATATAAAAAAATAGTTTACTGAAGTTTTGATGAATCGATGCCTCGCTATAAAACTACCGGCATTCGTGTCGCAAATCTGCGGCCATGGTGCTGCCATCGAATACAGTACAACGTCGAATATCTTAAAGTGGACCGAGTGAGGTATAATAGGTGGATATGTGAGGGGCTCGGATATGCGAACACATACAGGGGATGACAAGTTGCGCACCGTGCCCAAACGAGACAAAAAAAATCACAAACCGCATTAAACACGGGGAAATGCTCGATTGTACTTTAGAGGCCAGCGGACATGCGCGCGATAAATAATGCATTGCCGAGTGTGAAACAGTCAGATTTGTGAACGTCTTACAGCAAACGACTGAACTTCCTTCGAACTGTACATCGGAGGTGCTGGGGGAAGGACGATATAACTAAACACAATAAGCAGTTCTAAAGAAGTGAGTTTTCAATCTAGATTTTAAAGTGCATAGATTGGAGAAACGCATTTCTTTAGAATTGCTTTTTGCGATTAGCTTGTTGTCCTTCTCCCCCGCACCTACCGATATATACTACCCTGGGTGTGGGCTGCTCACTGATGAGAGCAGATATGCGATAGTCAGATATTCGGTTATCAAGCCGGATATGCGACGGTCAGTTGTTCAACGTTGTAACAGTCTCTTTATAGGTACTGCACATTCTCAGATCAACAATCCATTGTTTCTTGATTAAATGCGACTAACCTGACCAACAATAGGTACTTCACATTCTCAGATCAACATGATCCATTGTATGTTGATTCAATGCGATGAACATCATCCATTGCAATCATCCATTGCAATTTATTTGACTTCATTAACCCACCTGTGATCTTCTCATATGATAGGCTCACAGTCATTACATCACCTTCGCCCTATTTAAGACCCCGAAACAGGAAGTCTTCTTCACAATTCTGGCAAACTGCCTGATGAAGCTGGTTGCAAAATCACCGGCGAAATGTTGTACTCGAATTGTAAATGTCCTGGGTTCACTCTCCAAACACTCGGAGTAGCAACTAATTGGCGCATTTTGTTTACGTCACAAACCTTTTTAACCCAAAAAAAAAAACCTTTATTACGAGTAACAGTACCTACACACTGTCACCGCGGCCATGAAACAGCTGTGCACCGATGAGCATGTGACCTTGACGAGCACCCACCTCGTTGCCGTGCTTGTGAAGGAAGTCCAACTCCTGGTCAGTGAACGTCGTCATCGTGATGGACTTGACGCGATGCGGCGGGTTTAATCCGCGGCTGCGTGAAGAAACAAAAAAATTGGGACATCGCGTCGTGGATTCGTTTGACGCTATTCTGTTTGGCACGCACGCGTGCGTGTGTGTGTGTGTGGCTATGGGGAACGGTAGTGTAGCGGTTAGCGCGTTGCGCTACGAACCCGGCGAGCCGAGTTCAATTTCCGCTCATGGCCAATACCAGTGACGATTATCTAAACCGGTCTGGGCCACCCCTAGGTCGACTCGGCTTCAAATGACTACCTAGTGTGCGATGTAAACATCACCACTGGTGAGACAAAGGGGGTCAGGCATGGTTTTGGCCACCGACCCCCTCGTGTGCCATTCCAGGCTTCATAGGTGCTCGCTAACAGCACTTGCCCCAACAGTCTGTTAAGGTTATACGGGGGATCTTTGGCTGTCACGTTACACACGTACAGGGACTTACGAACTTTAAGAGATACGAACAAACCTGGTCCGTATGTCCAGTTGCCCGTTCGGACCGAGAGTCGTAAGTTCAACTGCCGTGCAATAGATGACGGTGGTGGCATCTACATCTACAGAACGTGAAGAACCAGTGGCATCTACATCTGCAGAACGTGAAGAACCAGTGGTATCTACATCTACAGAACGTGAAGAACCAGTGGTATCTACATCTACAGAACATGAAGAACCAGTGGCATCTACATCTGCAGAACGTGAAGAACCAGTGGCATCTACATCTGCAGAACGTGAAGAACCAGTGCATCTACATCTGCAGAACGTGAAGAAACAGTGGCATATACATCTACAGAACGTGAAGAACCAGTGGCATCTAAATCTGAAACACGTGAAGAACCAGTGGCACCTACATCTGCAGAACGTGAAGAACCAGTGGCATCTACATCTGCAGAACGTGAAGAACCAGTGGCATCTACATCTGCAGAACATGAAGAACCAGTGGCATCTCCATCTGCAGAACGTGAAGAACCAGTGGCATCTACATCTGCAGAACGTGAAGAACCAGTGGCATCTACATCTGCAGAACGTGAAGAACCAGTGGCATCTAAATCTGCAGAACGTTAAGAATCAGTGGCATCTACATCTGCAGAACGTGAAGAACCAGTGGCATCTAAATCTGCAGAACGTGAAGAACCAGTGCCATCTACATCTGCAGAACGTGAAGAACCAGTGGCATCTACATCTCCAGAACGTGAAGAACCAGTGGCATCTACATCTACAGAACGTGAAGAACCAGTGCCATCTACATCTGCAGAACGTGAAGAACCAGTGGCATCTACATCTGCAGAACGTGAAGAACCAGTGGCATCTAAATCTGCAGAACGTGAGGAACCAGTAGCATCTACATCTGCAGAACGTGAAGAACCAGTGGCATCTACATCTGCAGAACATGAAGAACCAGTGGCATCTAAATCTGCAGAACGTGAGGAACCAGTGGCATCTACATCTGCAGAACGTGATGCGTGTGCGCTGCTGTGTGTACGTGTACTGATGTGTGTGTGTACAGCACTAATGCGTGTGTACTGGTGTGTGTACGTGTACTGATGTGTGTGTGTACACAACACTAATGCGCATGTGCTGCTGTGTGTACGTGTACTGATGTGTGTGTGTACACAGCACTAATGCGTGTGTGCTGCTGTGTGTACGTGTACTGATGTGTGTGTACACAGCACTAATGCACGTGTGCTGCTGTGTGTACGTGTACTGATGTGTGTGTACACAGCACTAATGCGTGTGTGCTGCTGTGTGTACGTGTACTGATGTGTGTGTACACAACACTAATGCACGTGTGGTGCTGTGTGTACGTGTACTGATGTGTGTGTGTACACAACACTAATGCGCATGTGCTGCTGTGTGTACGTGTACTGATGTGCGTGTGTACACAACACTAATGCACGTGTGCTGCTGTGTGTACGTGTACTGATGTGTGTACAGCACTAATGCACGTGTGCTGCTGTGTGTACGTATACTGATGTGTGTGTACACAGCACTAATGCGTGTGTGCTGCTGTGTGTACGTGTACTGAGTGTGTGTGTACAGCACTAATGCACGTGTGGTGCTGTGTGTACGTGTACCGATGTGTGTGTGTACAGCACTAATGTGTGCTGCTGTGTGTACGTGTACTGATGTGTGTGTACACAACACTAATGCACGTGTGGTGCTGTGTGTACAGCACTAATGCGTGTGTGCTGCTGTGTGTACGTATACTGATGTGTGTGTGTGTACAGCACTAATGCGTGTGTGCTGCTGTGTGTACGTGTACTGATCTGTGTGTGTACAGCACTAATGCACGTGTGCTGCTGTGTGTACGTGTACTGATGTGTGTGTGTACAGCACTAATGTGTGTGTACTGGTGTGTGTACAGCACTAATGTGTGTGTGTACTGCACTAATGCACGTGTGGTGCTGTGTGTACGTGTACTGATGTGTGTGTGTACATAGCACTAATGCGTGTGTGCTGCTGTGTGTACGTATACTGATGTGTGTGTGTGTACAGCACTAATGCACGTGTGCTGCTGTGTGTACGTGTACTGATGTGTGTGTATATACAACACTGATGTGTGTGTGTACAGCACTAATGTGTGTGTGTACAACACTAATCTGTGTGTGCTGCTGTGTGTGTGTACTGGTGTGTGTACACAGCACTAATGTGTGTGTGTACGTGTACTGGGGAACCGGGTTCGATTCCAGCTCACGGCCAACAACACCGGTGACGATTCTCTGAACCGGTCCAGGGCCTCCCCTAGGTTGACTCAGCCTCAAATGAGTACCTGGTGTAGCTGTGTGTAGTAAACATCGCCACTGGGGGAGACAAAGGCGGTCGGGCGTGGTGCTGACCACCTACCCCATCGTGTACCGATCCGGCCTTCACAGGTGCTGCTCGCTAACAGCACTTGCCCCTACAGTCTGTTACAGGCTCCACGGGGATTTTTTGTGTGTGTATATAGAGTGTGTATATATACTGTGTGTGCTGTATAGCGGCGCACCATTGCACACGGTGTATGTTATATTCAGCATGTTACACAGCTTGTCAACAACCCCTTATCACAGCGCCCCTTACCTTGTTACAAACCCACTTTATAAATCTCAACGTGCATCCTAAAAAGTCCCCGTCACGAGGGAGAAACACACAACACAAATAGACAACAACAATAATAACAACATTTTTTTTTAATTTATTGCAAAGTCAATTTCTTCTCCGTACAAGAGCAAGGGGTCGACAACGATGGTGTGCGTACGCGATGTACGGCATCCCACGTGTCACGTACACTGCGTGTACACAACACGTGCGCACAGTGTGTACGCACGCAGCACAGTGCACATCGCGTTGTCATGCAACAACAACAGTGTAATGTACACGCACGTGCGTGTCGCGTGTTGTGTGCTGCACACATAACAGTCGTGTGTGTCGATTGTTTCAAGGCGGATTACGGTGTTACTATGGGTGTTGTGTACTTTGCAGTGCACGCGTGGTCTTTTGCAGTGTGTAATGCAGCGCAGTGCACGCACTGTTACCGCATTACACAATGTATACTGTACAAAATGCGGTACAGTGCGCGCACTGTACACATTACCGCGTTACACAATGTAAACTGTACACATGCAGTACAGTGCACACATTTGCACAATGTATACTGTGCAAATGCAGTACAGTGCACGCACTGTACACACTGGTACGTTACACGGTGTATACTGTACAAATTAAAACAGTACGTGCACTGTACTGTACTGCATCACACACCGGTGCATTACACACTGTATACTGTACAAATACAGTACACGTGCAGTACAGCGCATACTATTTTACACAGGCGATGCACTATATTCTTGGTTCTTTCGGTAAAGTCACCACGTAGAAGGGAAACAATAAAATAATAAAAATATAAAACAATACAATTCACACCTGATGATGATTGCTGCTTGTGTTGCAGTCGAAACGTCGTGAGAATTTTATTGTTTTATATTTATTTTAATATTTTATTGTTTCCCTTCTACGTGGTGGTGACTTTACCGAAAGAACCAAGAATATGAATCCCTGCAGTCACGAAAGCTTTAAATCAAAATTTAGGCGATGCACTGTTAGTGTATAGTCTGTACCCACGCAGTACATATTGTTATGTATTATTGCAGTACTGTATTAGAATGACACCACACACACAGTACACTTTGTGGACTCACAGAAGGCACATGCTCGACTGTACTGTACACATGCAGTGTGTACGATGCAGTGTGTACACTACTGTACTGTACACATGCAGTAGTACACCGTGTGCTGCATTACTATTGCAGTCGTAGTTAGTATGGTGTCGTAGCAGTGTTGACGAATATCACACAGACACACACACACGGTGCAGTGTGTGTGTGTACACACTACAGTACACACAGACACACACACGTGGAGAGTGTGTGTGTGTACACCCTACAGTACACACAGACACACACGTGGATAGTGTGTGTGTGTACACCCTACAGTACACACAGACACACACGTGGGGAGTGTGTGTGTACACCCTACAGTACACATAGACACACACAGACACACACACGTGGAGAGTGTGTGTCTGTGTGTGTACACCCTACAGTACACACAGACACACACGTGGAGAGTGTGTGTGTCTATGTGTGTGTCTATGTGTGTGACACACACACATAGACACACACACGTGGAGAGAGAGAGTGTGTGTGTGTCTGTGTGTGTGTGTGTGCTACTCACAGGAGTCCGCTACACGCCGTGCACACGAAGGTGCCCAGGCTCACGTCCACGTACGTGGGGCCCCGCTGCCCGCACTCGAAGCACCGCCGGTTGTGCGACAGAGACGACAGCTCCCGCAGGAGCCTCAAATGTTTCTCCTCCTCCTCCTGCTTCTTCTTCTCCTTACTGCTGCTGTTGCCCGTCGCCATGTCTCTGTTGCTCTTTGCCACTGCTATCTCTCTCTCTCTCCTCCTTCACCCACTACCACCACCACCTCCTCCTGCGGCGGCTGCTGCTGCTCTCCCCTGCCGTCTGGACGTCGCCCTCTCCGGCTATAACGGGTCGCAGAGGGGTGGGTGGTGGTTTTGTTGGTGGGTGGTGGTGGTTGTTGTTGGTGGTTGTTGTTGGTGGTGGTGGGAAGAAGGCCTTCCCCCCTCCCCCGCTCCTCTTCTTCCCTCGTGTTGTCTTTTACCGGAGGCGCGAGTTTGCGTCAACAACAACAACTCCCTTCGCCGCTCTGTGGTCCTTAGAGGTCGCTGTAGGGGGGGTGGTGGTGGTGTCATTCGTGTTGTGGTGGTGGTGTCATTCGTGTTGTGGTGGTGGTGGTGTCAATCGTGTTCTGGTGGTGGTGTCATTCGTGTTGTGGTGGTGGTGTCATTCGTATTGTTGTGGTGGTGGTGTCATTCGTGTTGTGGTGGTGGTGTCATTCGTGTTGTGGTGGTGGTGTCATTCGTGTTGTGGTGGTGTCAATCGTGTTGTGGTGGTGGTGTCATTCGTATTGTTGTGGTGGTGGTGTCATTCGTGTTGTGGTAGTGTCATTCGTGTTGTGGTGGTGGTGGTGGTGTCATTCGTGTTGTGGTGGTGGTGCCATTCGTGTTGTGGTGGTGTCATTCATGTTGTGGTGGTGGTGTCATTCGTGTTGTGGTGGTGGTGGTGTCACTCGTGTTGTGGTGGTGTCACTCGTGTTGTGGTGGTGGTGTCATTCGTGTTGTGGTGGTGGTGGTGTCATTCATGTTGTGGTGGTGGTGTCATTCGTGTTGTGGTGGTGTCACTCGTGTTGTGGTGGTGGTGGTGTCATTCGTGTTGTGGTGGTGGTGCCATTCGTGTTGTGGTGGTGTCATTCATGTTGTGGTGGTGGTGTCATTCGTGTTGTGGTGGTGGTGTCACTCGTGTTGTGGTGGTGTCATTCGTGTTGTGGTGGTGTCATTCGTGTTGTGGTGGTGTCATTCGTGTTGTGGTGGTGTCATTCGTGTTGTGGTGGTGGTGCCATTCGTGTTGTGGTGGTGTCATTCATCTTGTGGTGGTGTCAATCATGTTGTGTGGTGTCATTCGTGTTGTGGTGGTGTCAATCATGTTGTGATGGTGGTGTCATTCATGTTTGGTGGTGGTGTCATTCGTGTTGTGGTGGTGGTGTCATTCGTGTTGTTGTGGTGGTGGTGTCATTCATCTTGTGGTGGTGTCAATCATGTTGTGTGGTGTCATTAATGTACGGGCGGGGAAAACGCGGAGGTTTCTACTTAAATAAAAAAAAATACTTTTGTGTGTTTCATTTAAGTCCGCGTTGACGCGGTGCTCCGCGGATTATTGGAGTTCTGGATGAAATAGTCGCGCGATTTTAATTTATTTTGGTTTCGCCCCCCCCCCCCCCAAAAATATAAATATACAATGTGAAGACTGAAACAAAATAATAGGTGTTTACCATTCCTGGCAATAAAACGGTTAGTGCTGAACTAGTAACGAATTAGCATGTTTTATTTTTGTGGCCGTCAATAAATGACGTCACGCACCTGGGGGGGGGGGTTGAGAAATGTGACGTCACATCAACATGCGCAACTTTAAATAAATATAGACAACACGTTCTACTTAATTAAATAGACTTTTTTAATGTTTTCTCCTGCAACATCAGAGTGCAGCGCCACATTAAATACGCACTGCAATGACAATAGTTTAAAGCGATTTGAAGCATGTTTTATGGTTTTTGGGGGGGGCAGAGCTTTGTGACGTCATATTTGAGGGGCGGTCTGACTTTTTGTGACGCCGTGTGACGAAGGGGGGGGGGGGGAGTAAAAACTTGTCCAAAATCGCGTGACGTCATTTATGGACGGCCCCTAACGTGACAAACCTTTACTAATTGGCCGTGTCGGGTGGTGGTGGTGGCGGCGGGTTTAACGACACAACATTAGGAAGACACCCAATTGCACAGGCTCAACGTGATTCATATTTCATAGCAAAGTATAACGGCTTTAGAATTGATATTCAACAGGGGGCAGAGCAGCATTGCTTTAGCAGCGCCACGTGACCATCAGCCCTGCATGTTTTGTCTCACGACATAACCCCCTTAAGGATCGGGGTAATGTAAAGTCCTTGGAGGGCATTATTCTTCATTAATCATGTGTAAAAGTACCACAATCCTGTCAAACCCATACGGTTTACCCGTATTCTTGCACGGGGAAATTGAGTTGTGTTTCTCCCTCCTGATGGGACTTTGTAGGATGAACGTTGAGATTTTGAAGGGCACGGGGTGATCAATAAGGTCTGAGAATTGGTCTGTAATAAGGTAGGGCACTGATAATGAGTTGACAGGTTTGGTACCACCACACATTTGAAACCATTGGGGGGGTTTGACAGCAGCACGATGATGATGATGATGGGGTGGTGGTGTTTTTCACTTGTGTATTGTCGGGCGCCGTACTAAAAGCCAGTGGCCCACGGGCTTTTTCAATTATGGACATCAGCCATAAGGATGTTTCCATAAAAAAGGGGAAAACCCTATTATTATATTTTGGTACTGGCAAAGGAGGCCTCATGATGTAGATGCTTACCCCGAGCTCTCATTACTCTGATAGTGGCATTGTCTTTGAACTGTACGCCTTTTGGCATCATCTGGTCGAACACCGTATGAGACTAGGCTCTAAGAAAAGCTGTCTCTGGTGTGGACCAATCAGTTTCAAGGACAATGCATAAATTATCAGAGTATTGTTTTTTGTTTGCATTTGACCGCAAGTATTGTGGTTAATGTAAACATGATACCTCGCAAAAGGTGTCAGTTTTGTTTGCCAGAAAAAAGGGGAAAACCCCCTATTAGTGCTATAAGGATGTTGTCTGGTGAACTGTTCTATTGATCCCACATCCCCCAGGGCTTGAGCAGATCCGGGACAAGCTCGGATGAGACTTGGTGCCGCCGAAGGCTGAATATCAAACGCGATACCCATTTCTGTCGACCCTTCACGGTTGACCCCGTATTCTTGTGCAGGAAGATTCAGTTTTCAGGTCCATACGGCATACAGCCGTTTCAATACGAGCCAAAAAAATTATATTTGTTTGTGTTTCTCCCTAGTGATGAGACTTTGTAGGATGAACGTTGAGATTTATAAGCGGCACGGGGTGACCAATAAGGTGTGAATTGGTCTGTAATAAGGTAGGGCACCTGTAAGGGGGGTTGACAGATACGCAGTACCTGTGACGTGAAGAACAGCCGCCGATGCATTTTCACTTCACCAAAATAGGGCGAGTAAGCAATTATACAAACAACAGTCGACGGGTATGATCTTTCACCAATACTTCAAGTTCATTGGAAGAATAGTCTTTATTTAACAGTATGCACATTTACACAGCACAGTGCCTGTTGACTAAACAAGGGTCATGTACCGTGGTATGAATATGAACGGATGCACTTGCAGACAAGACAAAAACTGTTGTTTCAAGTCTCGAAGAAAGCACACGCACAACACGGACATTGAAAATCTGCGCGTTTAGAGCACCGCACGTTCAGCCAGAATAACAATCACAACGAAAAGCAGGAACTTGACAATATCCGCCACGCTGCAGCAATCTCGAAGAAGCTGACCAAAAGGGTCCACTTATCATGGTGCCGGACGTGGGAACAGGTAACCTTCGTTTTTTTGTAAATCTCAATTCTACACCAACAGACACTTGCCTTGCAAAGGAAAAAATAATAATTAATCTCTATTCGAGGTCATGTCAATGTTGCTACGTTTCCGCGACCATTGGAAAACAGACGCAAACCACGCTGGGCTGTTCCAGGTAAGGCTCAACACTTCAAGTCTCCATCTCTGTGGATGCAGACCCTACCATAATGTCTCACCCTAAAACAATGTTTGTATTTACTATGCAAGGCCCATTGACCCAACCCAGGGAAAGACCCAACTCCAACTCCATTCTCTCTGCAGCTAGAGGGACGCACTCATTCACTTTGCTTTTTAACAAGGTTTCACTTACGTAGGCTTGAGTTAGGTTATGCTATCCAAAACAAAAAATGTTTTATATTGTTCCGCGTATTATTTTTTTCGCAAACACGGTGCTACATTTCATAATCAGAAGTGCCTTTGCCGATTAAAGCCCACTGAGCTGAGAAGCTCTTTTTCAAGGGCGAGTCGTTGCAGATGAGCTGTTACTCTCTAACCTGGGGCGGCCCATGTTAGAGAGCAACATCTCCCTTGGGAATGCAGACCACGTGGCGTTGTTGGTGCTGGCTTGGCCGAATGCTACCATGGGAACTAGAACCATGACCACTTTCTAGGTGCAGAAACTGGGCCGACTTGCTGCCCCACTGGTCGCGGGTCGGCGGTATGCGTTGAAAATTGGGATTCACCAGGTCGCTGGGTGTAATTTCCACTTCATGTTTACGGATCACCAAGTTCACTGCCCAAAAACTACAAAACACGGTAGCCACTGCCTTCCTGCAGTGTCCAGTGCTCAGACAAAAATAATATAACGAGAGAAAGGTAAATATAAAAGAGGCTGGATTAATGCCTTTTAAAGTGGAATCATGTGTCCTCTGGACAACACAATTCTATTTTACGAGTATGATTAAAACATAGGAATTGTATTCATGTTTGTACAGATGAATGTAAATTGTGTTAAATATTGTACAACATCCGCAACACAGTTCCCCAATTGTTTACCTTTAATACAGCGGCACCAAATAATAAATGCACTGTATTGAGAGTTGGAATAAAACAAAATACCAATCATGTAGTTTGATTGAAAAATGTAATCTCACATGATATTTTTCATCGTATCAATAAACCTTTGGGAATGATTGTACTATTATTGTTATTATTGCCAAATCCCATTCAATTTGGGGGCATTATTGCTGAAATTAAATGCTGTTATTTCATCAAAAAGGCTATAACACTTTCCAAGTGCCTATTTCAACAACACATACACTGCAAGGCGGTCAGATATATTCAGGTTCGAACACTACTTGGTAATAACGGAAGAATGCCTTCGAAAGAGATTATTTCAGCGTCAACCACGAAGACGGAGCGGTAGATTGCGCCCGTGCGCAGGCGTTCGACGGATTGTTGCAACGCAAGGCCGAGAGGTATCGACGCTTTGGGGAGACCATCGCTCATCAGTGGATAGATCATGGCTGATGACGATGATGACAGCAGAGCAAATACTCGACGCAACGTTGACGCGTGGTGGCTTACGTTCGGCATCTCCTACCAGGGCAGTCGGTAGAATCCAACGTTCCCCTTTGGTGACAGCGTCCTCTCTGATAATACATTGTACGGCAAAAGCCAACCTGAAGCCAAAGCATACTTTGCATGTCAAGGTGGTGGTGGCATCACCATTCCCACATAACTTGCGCACGTGGCCGACACTCGCCACACCATCTCAACAGAGATGAAATTGCAGCCCATTAAATTTTTAAGTATTTAGTAGAAGAGGAATGACAACTGTGGACCGGTTTAAGCCTAATTAGGACTCATCAGTACAGTTACAGCCGTCATTGCTTACTGCTGCTGTTTGTGAGTGTCTCTCTGAAACCGCGGGGAAAAAAGGCGACAAAAGCAGAATCCAAATCATTCTCTGCAGATGTTTCCCATCTCAATTTCACGATTAAACTACAGCATTAAACGGACCCACAGATAAAGTGGAAACCAAGCACACATTCGCTGTAATCTAGCCACTGGGAAATAAAACGATAACCGACCGTCAAAAAAACGGGATGCGATTAGACGAATTGTCAAGATTCGAGGTCATGGTTGGATTTGAAGCAGCAATTCATTTTGGCTCAATTTTTTTGCAGCTGCACCATCTTATTTGCATCGGTATACATTTCTGTGGCTCGTTTGCACGGGTTCCTTCTACTGCTCCACCATGCTTCGGGAGAGGCGCCCAACCCTTGCGACCGCTTGCTGACGCCACTGGTAGCAGAAGGACCTCCGCGAGAACGAACTCTTTTGATGCTGGCCAGATGTGCGTAACTGAATCGAACGTGCACGCTTTGATGAAGCATCAGGAGTGTAAGGAATTGTATTCATAGACAATTAAATGCATTGTAATCAGAAACTCCGGTATCCCTTACAAAATAGGTAATGAATGAGTATAGATTGTCAAATGGTAAATTAATTTCAGATACATTTGATTCATGTACATATTAATGTGGTGTAAGTATAATATACGCGGCAATTAATGAAAGGACTGATGCCAATTTATTCATTATAATATTACACCTCTACACACGCAGGAGAGCCCGGAATCCGAGTCAATCAGCCTATTCAGGATGGGATGGTCATGCCCGTGACCAAAAAATCTCCCGCAGTGCACCGCATCTTTTCAAATTTCTCAAGCCGAGCATCGTCAAAGCCTGGATCGAGTGCTTGCCTGGGCGACCGCCACGCACAGACAAGGGCATCATAGGTGGCTGCAGGGGGCAAAGTCCATTGTTCTACTATAAATGCCATCTCTGCCAGCGGTGGGCAACCCAGACGAGTTAGTGGGCCGCTATGAGCGGCCCTCCTTCACCTGGCCGGGCCGCGAGCTCGGCACCGTGGATGTGCACTAATCATGACCCCCCACGCACCTAAGCATCACCCTGGACACACGTGTGACGGGGCCGCCATGAGTGGCTCCACGGGACACACGCGGTCCTCTTGGTCGCCCACCGACGCTCTATGCTACCACATCTATGCTCCCCCCACCTTCACCGACCCGCACTGACAGCGTGGAGGGAGCATGGTTGGTTAGATTACCCCCACAATCCGCGCACAGCGAGGGAAGCCCTCATCCAGCAGTGGATTAGCAAAGATATTGTGCTTGTACATGATATAATAAAAGTTTTATGAAAAAATGACTTCGTATGGATTTATTTCTAATGCTTGCTATGTGGTGCGCGAAAATGTCTTCAGTTTTTCTTTGTCTGGGAGGAAATTGGAGTTAACTGGAGAAATCCACAGATTCCATATGGCAGCCCGACACTGACAAGCCGTCAAACATGGGTGAGCAACCTGCTTCCTGTACTGCCAATTCAGAGACCACTTTACAGCCCCGTCGGTGGGAACCTCACAAAGCACAACGAGCTCTACGTGATCCATCAAACCCTGCAGTCAGGATGCTAGAATACAGCTGTGGTCTCGAATCTAACGTGGCGGCCGAGTAAAGTTCATCGGCAACGACAAGTTGCGATGGGCGGAACACAAGTACATGGCGGAGGGGGAAAGGTTACCGAGGACAGGCATTGAAGTGAAATCCAGACGTCTGCGCCCAAGAAAAAGACCCTAGAGCCAGGTGGCGTGGAGACTCAAGAGCAGAGCTTGAGGTCGGGTGTCGATTGTACAGCAGATGTGGGATCTGACAGAAAGGAGAAAGAGATGGCGTGATGCAGTGGCATCAACGGAATTTTCCGTGACGTCTTGGATGTACGTATGTTGAACTTCTTTCGCACCGTACGTAGCCAACCGTGCTTATCTGATGTGCGCGGGGGGGGGGGGACAACAAACTAAACACAAGAAGCCTATCTTATTACAGACCAATTCAGTACGTGTCTGCATGGAGATTTGTCTATTTGCAACGAAACGTTGAGGCTTAGTAAATATCTGAATGGGTGATGATTGTAAAATTATATTTGGAGACGTGGTCCATACGGACTGCAGATCAATAAGAATGCATTATAAAATAAAAACGAGGCACAATCAACTGCCTTTACCAATTGCGGTGGGCCCCAATTGTGCAATTAGATTCGGTGACGAGTGGGCAGGGCGTACTCGTTCTAAACATCTCACAACAGAACGCACTGGAAAGAGAGGAGCCTTCGCAGCTCGGGGAGATGCACGCAGAAAAGATGCGAGAAACCTTAATCCTGACTCGGGACCAAATAGGAATTTAAAATATATTTGGCATGCCACATATTAACACGCACCTTAGTGTTATCCAATAAAAACTTTAAAAGAGATTACGGCTCACCTTTACAGGTGATTGAGCGTGCTCGACATTGACACAGTGTCCAAAATATTCCTCTAGTACCCAAATAGTCCGGCTACGATGCTTGCCGTGGATAAATATGTCTTGCAGGCCATTTCCAAGTGGTAAACCTTGTGTGACCAGGGAAAGGGGGGGGGTGACGGTGCACATTAAATTAGGTCACGGGCCACACTGGGCACATGGGCCATAGGTTTCGCACCCCTGCACTTGGGTGAAGAGTGTTTAGTCTATACACGGCATTACGGGAAACAGGCACAATGATGTGCGCACGTCACCAATAGTCCAACACGTCCGGCTGGTGGTAAATGACCGAGAGCTCAAATTCCTATCTGGTGTTCGTCCGAGCACACCATCGCTCCAGTGTCGGCAACAAGCGTGCCACTTTGTGGGAAGTCAACAGCGAATCTCCTGTTCATCCTCCAGATGACGATCGCTTGTGTTGCGATCGAAACGTCGTAGTTTTTTTGTTATTTTCTTTTAACCTATCTAACATGACCTTACCGAAAGACCCAAAGAATATGAATTCCTGCGGTCACGAAAGCTTTAAGTCAAGTGAATCTCCTACGGATATACTGGCCCTGCCATAGGATCGTGGAGTTTTGACCGCCGGCTCAGGGACTTCCAGCAAGAGATGAGCACCACCCCTGGAAACAGTCAGATTTTTTTTTTTTACTAAAATAAAGGGGATTTTATTTGTGAATTTTCACACCGGTTAAACTGGGCGGCCGCAGCTTCTCCTCATTGGGGGAAGCATCAGTGCAGCGCAGCCTCGTGCCACCTGCATCACCGTCGCAGCCAGAGCCACCCGTTCAAGAGGAAGACGAGCCCGGTGAGCGAGAAGAGCAGAACCTCTCGGCGTTGGCGAGCGTGAGCGGCGCGTTCCACCGCCTGCAACCGGCCCGCCAGCCGCAAAACCTGCACGGCAACACGGCAGTGGCACAACGTTGACACAACACTCGGGGCCGGCTGTGCCATCACACAGACCGCTCGTCCATCACCACCAGTCGTTTTTCCGTCCGTCCGTCTGTCCGTGCGTCGTTGGTCCATCCGTCATTGCAGTGCTCCGATGGCATCGCTGTGACATCACTTTACTCTTCCATCAGTTTCCACATGCTGGCCGATCACGGTCATCGCTTTGCCACTTTGAAGTCAACCATTTTGATGCTGCCTCCGGTGTAATGGTTAGCACACTGGAATTGCAAATCAAGAGAGGTCGCCCGTTAAATTTCATCTCCCGGCACTGCAGTGGAAACAATGGGGCAAGTTTCTTAAATCTTCCGGCTCTGTCCGCCATAGCAGTATGAGTGGGTACACCACAGTCAATCGGCAGGTCGCGGGGTGGTGGAATCACGTGCAGGTACTCACGCTTTTTCCAAGACATCTGGCCAGCATTGAAAAGACGGTCAAAATACCCATGTCTAACATAAATATAGTTTCAACGCTCTGGGAAAGATCCGAATTGACCCTTCATCTCACGGCATGACGCCGACGACGAAATCGCGATTGAACGTGGGAAACGGACAATAGGAATTAAAATAACAATAACCCACGTTACCTGACTGTTCACGACTGCAAGATCCAGCTCCAAACCGTCTGCGTACTGATCCTCCCCCACGTCATCGACGAGCGCCAGTTCTTGCCTGCCGAGGAGGAAATCATACGCGGGCCCATGAGTGGCTCTCTCCCAATACTTCACGCGTGTGTGTGCGCGCGTGTGTGCGCGTGTGTGCGCACAGCCCTTTGTTAATCCACTTGCCGGATGGATTGGACTCCCCACACCATGTCGGTCACGGTGGACGTTTGACTACACTTCGCGAGGCGGACGGTGAACCAGTTGGCGATATCACTCGCCATTGGTATTAGCCGTGGCCAGGTGTCAAAACTCAGGATCTCTGGATTCTTAGCACGGTGCGCGAAACACCACGCCACCGCTTCCTGCCCTGTAAGTAATCCTTGTATATATAAACACAAACCTTGCGAACAAGGGTTCGGGGTGTCAGGCGGATTTGAGAAATTCCAGGTTGTGAACCCAGCTCTATGGACTGTTGAATGCTATGTCCTAAACACGGGTGGTATATATCTCGACTTAAAAGTTTTCGTGACTGTAGGAATTCATATTCTTTGGGTCTTTCGGTAAAGTCACGTTAGATAGGTTCAGAGAAAATAACAAAAAACGACGTTTCGATCGCAACACAAGCGGTCGTCATCAAGAAAAAAAACGATTGTGTTGCAAACGAAACGTCGTAGTTTTTTTGTTATTTTCTTTGAACCTATCGTCGTGACTTTACCGAAAGACCCAAAGAATACGTGTGGGTATGTTTTCAGAGTACTCCAGCTTTTGACCCACATCATGCGAAACGCTTCTGAAAATAAACACTGGACCAAATAATTCCAGTTTCACAAGACCATATTCCGGTCCAGGTTTATGTTTTTAGCATGCTTCTCCGTTCAGAGACAAGTCATCGCACATGTACTGGCACCTGCTTAATAAACATGTAGATCCATACAGAATCAGAATATTTATTTATACTGAAGGAATCCGATGAGCTAAAAATCTATTTTTCACGTAAAACAAATTAAGTTTGGTAAATGGCGGTATTGCACATGTGTTCCTTTCAAAAGGTGATGTCTCGGTTGATGAAATTATTAAAATAATTAGAAGTTTATTCCCATTTAGCTGCTCGGGGCATTCACTTACACAGGACAGTCTCACCGAGTCTCAAGACTCTTATCACGAGGGTCTTGCTTAGGATCCAGGGCCGATGCACTCTAGCACGCGCGAGGAAACGCGAGTCCTTTGAGAAGATCCTCACGTAGAGCGGACAGAGTGTGGTAGCAGTGGAGATGCACACGTGTGAACAGGTTCTACGTTAGCATTCTCGTGGGACACGAGAGCCCTTATCGCGTCGTACGTGCAGGATCCACAACGAGCAGGAGACACGTTAACAGCATCTTTTGGCAAAGCTCCAGAGCTGGGGTATAATAACAATTATAATTGTGTCATTCGTTATGAAACGCGGTCGCAAAGTAATTGCAACGTCGGCTAACAACGGTTGGTGCCGTTCTGATGATAACTGACCCCCAGATCTGCCAAGCACTGGCCAAACAAAATGACATTGACGTTTGCTGTGACAAGAACAGAGGGGCTGAGATTACCTGCGCGGATTGAGGGAAGGGCTGGATTTGGAAGGACTGAGAAGGGATCTTGGGCTAGAAAGGGCAGGCAGTGGAAAAAGATCAAAATAAAGGGAAAATGACAGCCAAGAAGGACAGAACGGAGGAGTGTCCTTTCTCACTTTCTAGGCTGCGAGGCATTGGCGTAGCGCGGTTGGCATGGGCCCCGATTCACAGGATGTAATGGGTCCCGCGTCCCATGTCATATCATTGAGCCAGAGGGCCAATGGGCTCTGGTGCAGCTGCACTGCCTGCACCGTCGGTAACTACGCCACCGCCTCGAGGCTCAACCACGAAGCTCGAGGAAGGGAAAGGAGCCATTCGAACACTCGCAAAGCGATGGCACACAATTTGTACCGGAATGAATGACAGCGTAAGCCAGGCGCCTATAATAAGCTCCAGTTAAAAAAATTGAAAAACATTATTTTAATCACAATTGAATGATAGCCATTCAAAAATGAGCTGTGTTAAAATTTAGCTGAGAAAATTCTTCCTCCAATATTCTGTATTTAAAATATTTTACTTTACCAGGTAAGGCCCACTGAGCTATGTAGCTCTTTTGAAGCTGCGACCTAGTCACAAATGATAGTTCAACGAAGTGGCTTATCATGTGGAAATTCGTAGCAGCCATGTATTTGGTGTGCATAAAAGCAGCCACGTGATGCGGCAGAGCCAATCGCACAAGAAGGCCCCTGCCAGTAAGGCTTTGGCACCGCGCGAGTTGTCGTGGAGAACAAGCAACGACGTGACATCACATTTTTCGTCAAATTGGGGAAGCCGCCCTTCCAGAGCCGAGTTCAATTCCCGGTCACGGCTAACATCGGTGGCGATATCTCACCTGGATCTGGTCTCCCACCCTTCAAGCAACCAATTCCACTAACTGTTTAAAACGGGACCTTGTAGAGCAACGGGAATGCCGCCACAGACTGGAAAGAGCCATCGCTGCCAATGACAATTGCACGCGACGGACAGGCCCGAGGTGGACGCCGTGGGAAGCGCGGCATCGCGATGACTCACGCATGCTGCCGTTGAGCGGGCGTGCCCAGCCGAGGTCCTCGCTCACTCAGCGACCGCTCCCTGTACGGCCGAGCACCTGGGTTCTTTCTCTGAAGGATGAGAGACAACTCCTCAATGTGGTGAAAACGACAGGAGAGTTCGCGTTGTACGTGAAATGTGAGCATACCACCGCCACCGCTAAAGTGTGCACGTTAATGTGAGCTGTGAATTGCAATGTGAACTTCTCCCTTATTGTTCATGAGCATGATATATCTAGCTATGGAGTGCAAAAGGCATTTTGCAATAATTAAACCACGAGAGTAAACACACCCGATAGGATTATCACTGCGGCGATGGAGCTCCGAGGTTAGTTAATGTGCAGTAGCGAAATGGCTTGTGCTATCACGGGACTATGAATCGTTATCAGCATACCATCTCTCGCTGTGGACTGAACTGTGGAACATCACCCTTAACAAGACTTGGCAGAGCTGCAAAGTAATAACACCGGACATCTGGCCACGTCCGACACTTATCGGCGCATCGTACAAGTCGGCCGCAGCCGGTGCCAGAGTTCAGTCTCTCCCACCCATGGCGAGCGCGTTTCGTTGCTTACTCGCTGCGCCGGCGGTCTCGATGGCGTCTCGGCCGCCACGGACGGCGATGATGCCGGTGGCACGAGGCTGATGTAGTCCAGCGGCTGCTCCTCCAGCGTGAGCACGCGCGGCGGAGTCTGCAGGTGGAACATCTCCCGTGGGAGCTCCACGGAGAACCGTGGCCCTTGCATAGACGAGCGGCTGGAGTCCTGCCCGGAGTCTACAGAACAGAAATGATACGCTCCGTTTCTGTGACCTTCAGACAGCTGACCCGCGCAGTGCTAGGTTTGTTCCAAGAAGCGAACAGGTTACCTTACGACTGCGTCGGGTTTTATAAGTTGCGCTGTACAGTTTGCCGATGTGTTTTTTGGGTTGTACGTTGCCGTTGATCGGAATGGTGTCGGGTGTTTCGCTCCTGAAAAAAGCTCCCAGCAAGTGGAGAAAAACGTTGGGACGCCATGCCAACCCAACACGTGGTACAATCCACAAAAAAACACATCAAAGAACAAGTTACCTGCTTTGAAGCTTTCGTGACTGCAGGAATTACTCTTTGGTTCTTTCGGTAAAGTCACGTAGATAGAAAATAAATTAAATAATAGAATACGACGTTTCGATTGCAGAGACACATGGAGAGAGACACACACAACATAGACACGTCTATGTTGTGTGTGTCTCTCTCTGCTTGTGTGTCTATCTGCGTGTCTCCGTGTCTGTGTTTTGTCTCTCTCTCAAATTGAGTTCTACCTGATGACGGTTGCTTGTGTTGCAATCGAAACGTCGTACCCTATTATTTTATTTGTTTTCCTTCGACACGACTTCACCGAAATAACCCAAGAGCAACAAGTTACCTTTTTAGCAAATCACAATTCATTGCCAATAGGCAATTTGCCTACTTGGAAACATCACTATTAATCTCCATCGGAGGTGATGTCAATGTTGCCACAACCTTTTTAGAAAGAAGCCACAAAAGCACTAACCAGGACAATTCCAGAAATGGCTCAGCAAGACTCGTTTCTTGTTCCAAAGCTTCAAGAGCTACGCACTCTATAGGCTCAGGCTCCACGTTCCATACCCCCTTATGAAAGACAAAACCAAATTTAATTGTCCAGTCATTGGTGACTGGGCTGAGACGATCAACTCAGTTAATTTATAGACAGCTGAATTTTGGCGATAATAAATCCAGGACCTGAGCAGTGCCAGGTCAGTGCTCTGACCAAGCGATTCTAACCATCTCACAAATACCTACAATTAAAAACACTTATTTGGAAGCATAAACGGACCTGAACAAGAGGCCTCGTTGGAAGACAGAGCGAGAGAGAGAGCTGCTTACCGGCAACCATGATCCTCTCCGGCACCTCCATCACCATCGCCGGGTGATGATAGTGTGAGTTTTGCGTTTTGGGCCACGGGGACTCCTGCCCGGCGTCAGCCTCGGTGGATGCCACCTGTGGTGACAGAAGAAGTGAAACGGGCGCAGCAAGACGATGAGCCACAAGAGAGCGGGCGAGCAAGGCAACTGGGCGAGCACAACGTACGTTTGTGGCTCGTGCAGCAGGAGACGTAACAAACGCTCACCTATCAGCCAATTCGCCATGAAAAATAATACAACTTTCATTTTATACAACGTCATTCGTGCCAACAGCATCCCACAACACTGTACATGAATTATATATAAGGGCCAAATCCCATACACGCGGCTGGGTACGCATGGCGCGAATGAAGCAAAGCGGGGCTTGCTGTAAACTTTGTGAACGATGGTGTCAGCGGTCGACGGGCGTGCCTTCAGGGTGTTGGGGATCCTCATCTTCTCGCTGATGTCCTGCGTGAAGTCGGGGTCATACTGCTTGGGCGCCGAATCGTCGAGCAGGCTGGCGGAGGGATTGAACGCAGCACACATGCCTCTCTCTCCTTCCTGGTTGTGCGTATGGGGGGGGGGGTGGGGGATTTGGGCCAGCATAAGTGGTGAAAAAAAACCCGAATCAATTCCTCACGAGCACGCTTAAGTACAGGCCAGGTCAGAATCGGACTCTTTATTTAGGCTGGAGGAATCCGATGAGCTATGAAGCTCTTTTTCAGAGGTCAGAGAAACTACTTTTTGTGTTTAGTTTGTTGTCCTTCACTCACTCGCACCTCCTATTAGCACGGTTGGCTAGGTGTGGTGCGAAAGAAGTTAAACACACATACGAGCATACATCTAAGCTCTCACCCCTGAAATTCTGGGTTCGATTCCAGGTTTCAGCCACCTGTGATTAGACCGGTTTCTCAAGTGGGGCATATTGGTCCGAGGTCACCAAAAACTATCGCAATTAAATTTGGTCCTGCACTCAATTCCACTTATTTCCATGTCAGAATTTTTTTTTAAAATCCGTTTGAAGGTCATGCAAAAAAATTACTCGGTTGCACTCAGCTGCAGAAATTTACACATTCACATGGCATGGAAGAAAGTACAGATTGCACTTGCCCTCTTATTTTGCCGGATTAGAGCTTTCCCACCGAGTGCGCTTGGTCGTGCGGTCACTTGACCATACCTCACCACGCTCATCGACGCGGGTCAGTGAAGGTAGGGAGCATGGAACACAGTACAACGATTGGTTTCCGCTGCGCCGATGACTGTGCCCACAGCGTAGGCAGCCCCATGGCAGCCTAGGGGTGGTGGCCCCTCATCCAAGCACTATCCAGGCTCGTCCCTGCTTAGCTTCCGACGTCTGACAAAGATGATGTGATCACCGGCATGAAATTTAAGATTTAAAAAAAAGTGAACTGGAGATCATGGGACCTCCTTCGCCAGTACCAAAATATGAAAATTAGGTTTTTCCCCCATTTTTTTCTGGCAACAAAACGGTTGTGTTGAGATGTTAAAACACCAAACTGAAACCTTTTTACAAGGAATCATGTCTGCATAAACCACAGTACTCGTGGTCAGAATACAAACAAAAAAAACACTCTGATAATGTATGCATTGTCTTTGAAACTGATTGGTCCACGCCTTTTGGCGTCCTCTGGTCTAACACCGTTTTGAGACGAGGCTCAAAAGAAAGCCGTCTCTGGTGTGGACCAATCAGTTTCAAGGACAATGCATCATATATTAACAGACATGATTCCTTGTAAAAATGTTTAAGTTTGGCGTTTTAACATCTTAACACTACTGTTTTGTTGCCAGAAAAAAATGGGGGAAAAACGTATTCTCATAAACTGTAGACGTTGCGATTGAAAGTGTTTAACGTCGTTATATTAATTAGACAGTATGTTAGACAGTTTGTACGGGCCATGATACAGTTTAATCAAAACCATTACAGCGGCTGGTGAATGTTACCATTAAATACGTTAAAAAAACGCAACTAAGTACTTGTTGTAAAGAAGTTGAGCCTACATACACAACTAGGCGATTACAAAAAAAACACAAACACATTGCATAGTCTCGTATTCTGTAACAACTTTAAACAAACAATTCATAACACGCATTCTTGGTTCTTTCGGTGAAGTCACGTCGAAGGGAAACAATAAAATAATAAAAAAATATAAAACAATAAAAATCCTATTGTTTTATCGATTCCCTTCTACGTGGTGGTGACTTTACCGAAATAACCAAGAACATCAATCCCTGCAGTCACGAAAACAAACAACTCATAACACTAAATTTTGATTTTGAAGCTTTCGTGACTGCAGTAATTCATATTCTTAGCTCTTTCGGTAAAGTCACGTTGAAGGGAAACAATAATGTTGGTGGAGGGGGGTGGTCAGCAAAATATATATTATATTTATTTTATTGTTTCCCTTCAACGTGACTTTACCGAAAGAGCTAAGAATATAACAATAACAACTCATAACACGTTATTTAGAAGCGGCCGTAACCGAGATTCTCGCGTTTTTAGACGAAGTGCCCTTGGGCGGAATTGCCAAGACTGTTGCACTGTACCCCACTGTACTAAGTCAAAGGCAAAGCCGCGTGTAGCCTGCGAGACTGAAGGGGCAAGTGCTGTTTGCGAGCGCCTATTAAGGGTCCGCACGGCACACGTGGTGGTGGTGGTGGTGGAGGGGGGGGTAGGGTGGGCAGCAAACCACGCCCGGCCGCCTTTGTCTCCCCCACGGGGAGCGGTGGTGCAGCGGTTTCGTCGCTTTGCTACGACCCCAGGGAGGGAACCAGGAAGAGTTCCATTCCCCGCTCACGGTTCAACATCGACGACGGTAATCTGGCCACCCCCTGGGTCGACTCGGCCTCAAAACTAAGTTCACCTGTACCATGTAACAAAGGCAAAAGTGCCCTCCCCGTATAGCCTCAACAAGAGACTGTGGAAAGGGGGGGGAGGCAGGCGATGTTCCTGAGTGGCAACCTATGAATGTCGGGCACGGCACACGTGTGTGTGGCCCAGCAACTACGCCCGGCCGCCTTTGTCTCTCTCGTGGCGATGCTTACCGCACCGGGGTAACTCATTTGAGGCTGAGTCGACCTAGAGGGGGGGGGGGGTGCCTAGGAACCGGCTCAGATTGTGTTGGCCCTAAGCGGGAATCCAACTCCGGTTCGTAGTGTTGGGGCGTGCTTAACCGCTACCACCAGCGGATATTGAATACGTACCAACTTAAAGATTGTTAATTATAATCAGATGACTTTCAATAGAGACACAAAAGCAACCCCTATCCACCACCACCACTAACACTTGCGTACAGGCACGCACCCAACACGATCGACGTCTTCACGACCTCGTCAAGATACAAACACAAATTCACCACCACCACCCAAACCCAAGCGAGCATCTTCATCTAAACGTAGCGCGTTAAAGTAGCGGCGTGGCGATCGACTGACGACCCCCCCTCACTCACCTCCTCACCTCTCCTCCTCCTCACTTCTCCTCACCTCCTCCTCACTTCTCATCACCTCTCCTCCTCACTTCTCCTCACTTCTCCTCCTCACCTCTCCTCATCACCTCCTCACCACCTCCTCACCTCTCCTCCTCACCTCATCACCTCCTCCTCACCTCTCCTCCTGCTCACCTGCCTGCCGAGAACGACGGCGACGACGACTTGCCGGCTGGGTTGGTTAATTACTTAATCTCGATTGCCAAAACGGCGCAGCAGCAACAACAACCACTACCACCACAACCACCACCACAACCACTTTAAACACTCGGAGTGTAGCGGCGCCCGACCCGTGGGTTGAGGGAGGGTTGGCGATTTGGGGGGGGGGCCCTCGTTACTGCGTTGAGCGCGCGGAAGCTTCCTGGATCCCGCGGTGGTCACGCGTGAAGCCAGCGGCCGCGGCCATCTTACGTAGGGGGAACAACCCAAGGGCTAAAGGGGGGAGGGGCGGTGACTCCTCGACTTACGAACTCGCAAGAGCTATAACTCTCATAGTTTAGTTAGTTTAGTTTAATTTATTTTGGTATAGCCCTGTGAGCCGTTCGGCTCTTGAATCGGGTGCAACCGCAACAAACAAAAAAACAAAAACATGAACATCTTAAAGTGACTTTGTGCATGTGCAAACAGAAAATCCAGGAAAAAAAACATCAAAATATTCCTGAAATAGCACCGTACACCAACGCTGTGTGCAAAAATCCCAGTGGGATGCAAGTCAACTATCAGAGATACGAACTCTCAAGAGATACCAACTCTCAGAGATATCAACTCTCAGAGATACCAACTCTGAGAGATAGCAACTCTCAGATATCAACTCTCAAGAGATACCAACTCTCAGAGACATCAACTCTCAGAGATATCAACTCTCAGAGATACCAACTCTCAGAGATATCAACTCTCAGAGATACAAACTCTGAGAGATATCAACTCTCAGAGATACCAACTCTCAGAGATACCAACTCTCAGAGAGATACCAACTCTCAGAGATACCAACTCTCAAGTGATACCAACTCTGAGAGATACCAACTCTCAAGAGATACCAACTATCAGAGATACCAACTCTCAGAGATACCAACTCTCAAGTGATACCAACTCTCAGAGATATCAACTCTCAGAGATACCAACTCTCAGAGATACCAACTCTCAGAGATACCAACTCTCAGCAGGGTTCGGAGTGCTGTTGTGAGGAGCCGTCCATAAATGACGTCACGCGATTTTTGACGATTTTTGACCCCCCCCCCCCTCGTCACACGGCGTCACAAAAAGTCAGACCCCCCTCAAATATGACGTCACAAAGCTCTGCCCACCCACCCCAAAAGAAGAATATAAAACATGCTTCAAATCGCTTTAAACTACAGTAAAACCTTGGGTTGCGAGCATAATTCGTTCCGGAAACGTGTTTGTAATCCAAAGCACTCGTATATCTATACTCTTTGGTTCTATTGGGTAAAGTCACGTAGGTAAAAAATAAAATAACAAAAATCGTATATCAGTTGTGATCACGTGACGCTCAGCACACAAAACGTATACGTACTACTCGTATTGCAAGACGTCGCTCGTTAATCAAATTAATATTTACAATTTTTGCTCGTCTTGCAAAACACTCGCAGACCAAGTTACTCGCAATCCAAGGTTTTACTGTATTGTCATTGTAGTGCGTATTTAATGTGGCACTGCACTCTGATGTTGTAGGAGAAAACATTTATTCAAAAGTCGATTTAATCAAGTAGAACGTGTTGTCTATATTTATTTAAAGTTGCGCATTTTGATGTGACGTCACATTTCTCAACCCCCCCCCTCATCACACATCGTCACAAAGGTCTGACCCCCCCCCCTCCCCCAGGTGCGTGACGTCATTTATGGACGGCCCCTAAGATGATAAAATGAGTGATAAATTATGTTTCATGTTTTAGGCACGAATGTGGTGTGGCTTTGCCAGTATAAGGAATACCGTATTGTAAAGGGAACCCACATTTTTGTTACTATCCAATGCTCGGTTAAACGGGGAATCGACCGATTTTTAAGGATACAAAGCTTGATCCATTCTTGATCCATGCTCGAACACATAGCCGTGATATTTAGAATGCATTTATTTCTAAATAGTTAAAGTGTTTTCTGTCAAGTGATTTCTGGATCTAAAGAGATGATTTGTGGATCTAATAAGTAATATTTAAAAATACTTATTTTTTAAAACACGCTTTAATGAAATGTACCGTACTACCAATGGAAAAAAACTCCACGACTCCAGGAAGTGGTCCCGAAGCTTCCCACAACGTAAGGGGACCGTGGTGATTTACAGCCAACGTCAGTTGAGCGTGGACAATTAGACCCAAGCCGAAACATAACAGGTAAAAAATATGGTTGAATTTTTTTTATATATAATAGAATATAGTATTGTCATCAGTATGCCATAAGTATACCAAGTTTGCAGTCGATACCACATTGGGAAGTGGGCTAAAATTGAGTTACAAGATTTGAGGATACAACGACAAGAACAACAACAGACAGAGTGAGTTAAATAAAAGCGTGTAAAAAAAAGCTCATATTAGGCCACCCCTTGACGCTGATTGGATTCGTTCAACATTAACAATAATGTATCATTCATTCTGTCGCGGATTCATTCTATCCATGAGGGGTTTTTTTGGGTTAGATCGCATAAATATATAAGTGTGTTGTTGAACCCGCCACCACCCGACACAGCCAATGAGTAAGGCTTGCCAGGACAACTCACTTGTGGATTGTGACTCTCCACTTGTGGATTGTGGATCCACATGTGCATTTACTCTCCAACACACCGGTGTGCTGTACTAGTAAGGAACTGCCATGTTTTGTTTACGTGGCAAACCTTACTAAAACCTTACTAATTTGATGTGTCGGGCTTAACGACACGCATTTATATTTACTTGATCTAACATCCCCAGCCCCTCCCTCTATTGTGCTTACTATAATCACCCAGAAATGTCTGTCCCGTGCGTGACATCACTCCACATGCCGCACCCCTCCCCAATAACCATGAGGGGTGACGTCACTCCACATGCCGCACCCCTCCCCCATAACCATTAGCGGGTGACGTCACTCCACATGGGGCACCCCCCCCCCCCCGCTCCATTAATAATCATGAGCTGAACAATTTTTCTATTTAATATTTCAGATTAAGTGCAATATACACTCGTCCTTGGATGGGCAAAAAAGCTATTTATAGATAATATTGGTCGCAAAAGCCTCCTAACTACTACGACTGCTGCGTGTTAAACTCGTGTTGCATTTTGATTTAAAGCTTTCGTGACTGCAGAAATTAATATTCTTGGTTCTTTCGGTAAAGTCACGTAGAAGGGAAATAATAAAATAATAAAATATAAAACAATACAATTCTCACAACAGTAAAATAATAAAAATATAAAATATTAAAATTCTCACAACAATAAAATAATATTATTTTATAAAAAATAAACTAACATTTTTAATTGTTTCCCTTCTCGTGTTACATGTCATGTTGCAGCGCCACCGTCGACCTCCCTTAGCAACATGGCCGACTACACCTCGAGAAGCCACGCGGTCTTCTCGTCGTTCGCTCATCGCGGCACGTGGATTGGTTGAAGCGGTACCCCCCCCCCGTGTTTGCTAGCGACCAATCATACGCGCCAGCGGGCTGAGTGACCCCCCCACCCCCCCCCGTGTTTGCTAGCAACCAATCAGACGCGCCAGTGGGCTGAGTGACCCCCCCCCCGTGTCTGCTAGCGACCAATCAGACGCGCCAGCCGGCTGAGTGACCCCCCCTGTTAGCTTGCGACCAATCAGACGCGCCAGCGGGCTGAGTGACCCCCCCCACCCCCCCCGTGTTTGCTAGCAACCAATCAGACGCGCCAGTGGGCTGAGTGACCACCCCGTGTCTGCTAGCGACCAATCAGACGCGCCAGCCGGCTGAATGACCCCTCCCCTTGTTAGCTTGCGACCAATCAGACGCGCCAGCGGGCTGAGTGACCCCCTCCTGACCCCCCGTTGACCCCACCCCCGGGGCCCACCGAATGTTCACGCAAAGCCACGCAACGCGATTTCATTGTAAACTCGCGATTTCATCGATTTTCATTTGTACAGCACCGTAAATACTTTCTTTTACAAGCAGAAAATAATAATAATCTTTGGTAAGTCTACGTCCACATCGACTCCTCTAACGGCTCAAAACGTAAGCGGCTGGCGGTTGTCACCGCTCTGCGATGTTGTTATCTGCGACGTTGTTAAATCTTACGAAGTTGTGATTGTAGAAAAAAATATTTTTTTTTGTGTTCAATGCATCCGTCCACCACGAACAACAACTTCCTCAAAGTTTGTCGCGGCACCGTGTTGCCATCGTGCAATTGTTGTCTGCGTTCGTCTTTTTAAATCGTCAACCGAAAGTCGACGTTCGTCACCGAACTTACACACAAAAAAAACTTTTATATCGATCGTTTCATAGTATTGGTTCTTGCGGTAAAGTCACGTAGATGTGTTGCGATAGAAACGTGTGTTTTTTTGTGTTGCTTTTATTTTTTATTTTCTATCTTCTACGTGACTTTAACGAAAAAAAAAACCCCGATATGAATTCCCTGCGGTCACACAAGTTTAAAGTCAAAATCGATCCTTTCTAGATCTGAAGCTTTCGTGACTGCAAGGATTCATAATCTTTGGATTTTTTTTCGGTAAAGCCACGTTGGTAAAAACAAAAAAAATCAATGAAATAAATGAAAATCAACACAAGTTTTTGTGTTGCCTCCGAAACGTCGTGATTTAATTGCGTTTTTATTTCATTGCTTTTTTTTACCTACGTGACTTTACCGAAAAAAAAACAAAGAGTATCAAAATCGATAGTTTTTTTTAATTCGGGAAACATTGAAGGTGATGTACTCACTGTACCGCATTGCGTAACACTTTCTGAAGACCGACGTTACGCGGATTTTGTGTTGGCCTCGATGTCTTTAACGACGAACGCGGGTGGGATTATTAAAGCTGCACTTTTTAAATCTAATAAATAAGGAGACAGTCTATTGCAATCGATCACCTCCCCGTTCTATCGATTTGTGGAGAGTCAAAAAGCCTCTGCGTGTCATTTTTGTGAACTGGTCACAATGTGGCGGACGTTAGACGGTCCGATATCGCGGGCGTTGGGATACTAATTCGACGTTTCGCGATGACGACCCACGAATTCATTCATTTCGATTGTTGAGCTCACGATGTTAAGATCCTGTGTGTATCGTGCAACGGCTGTGACTTACCCGTCGGATACCTGTCAAGTGCTTTATCAATGGCCTACCTTGTTACTGACCAATTCAGACTTGATTGGTCACCCCGTGCCCCTGATAAAATCTCAACGTTCATCTCCTACCATGTCCCCATCATCACGAGGGAGAAACACAAATATACACTCACCACTAGCACACTCACCACTACACTCACCACTAGTACACTCATCACTACGCTCACCACTAGTACACTCACCACTACACTCACCACTAGTACACTCACCACTAGTACACTCACCACTACACTCACCACTAGTACACTCACCACTAGTACACTCACCACTAGTACACTCACCACTAGTACACTCATCACTAGTACACTCACCACTAGTACACTCATCACTAGTACACTCATCATTAGTACACTCACCACTACACTCACCACTAGTACACTCACCACTACACTCACCACTAGTACACTCACCACTACACTCACCACTAGTACACACACCACTACAATCACCACTAGTACACACACTACTACACTCCCCACTAGTACACTCACTCCTACACTCACCACTAGTACACTCACCACTACACTCACCACTAGTACACACACTACTACAATCACCACTAGTACACACACTACTACACTCACCACTAGTACACTCACCACTAGTACACTCACCACTACACTCACCACTAGTACACACACTACTACACTCACCACTAGTACACTCACCACTAGTACACACACTACTACACTCACCACTAGTACACTCACCACTAAACTCACCACTCGTACACTCATCACTAGTACACTCACCACTAGTACACACACTACTACACTCACCACTAGTACACTCACCACTACACTCACCACTAGTACACACACTACTACAATCACCACTAGTACACTCACCACTAGTACACTCACTCCTACACTCACCACTAGTACACACACTACTACACTCACCACTAGTACACTCACCACTAAACTCACCACTAGTACACTCATCACTAGTACACTCACCACTAGTACACACACTACTACACTCACCACTAGTACACACACTACTACACTCACCACTAGTACACTCACCACTACACTCACCACTAGTACACGCACCACCGTGAATACGAGATGGTCACGATGCTCTAGTCCTTCAAGAGACGTGAATACGAGATGGTCACGAAGCTCTAGTCCTTCAAGAGACGTGATTACGAGATGGCTACGAAGCTCTAGTCCTTCAAGAGACGTGAATACGAGATGGCTACGAAGCTCTAGTCCTTCAAGAGACGTGATTACGAGATGGTCACGATGCTCTAGTCCTTCAAGAGACGTGAATACGAGATGGCTACGAAGCTCTCGTCCTTCAAGAGCCGCACAAGCGCCTCTAGAGTTCTAGATTGATGACTCACGGGCATGCTGGTGTCAGTCATGGGAGTTGTTCTCATCTGGCACGCCGATCTGGATGGGCTGTGACAAGCTGAGTGAATATTCGCCCAGGAAGTTCCGGGGAGTAGTTGTGGGGGTGGGATGCACGTGGGTTTGAGTCTCTCGGTGTGTGTGCGTGTGTGCGCTAAACATCGCCACTTGGGAGATTAAGGCGGCCAGGCGCGGTGCTGGTCATCCATCCTCTCGTGTGCCACAGTGCCAGCCTTCATAGGTAGGTGCTCGCTAACAACACTTGCCCCAACAGTCTGTTGAGGCTATACGGGGGATCTTTGTCTTCGTGTGTGCAAAGTGTGGAGTGTTTAGCGTCGCTTTTCCACCACTGCCAACTCAGCATCACCGAGTAAATAGTGGGTTGCCGTGGATACAAGGGACAGCCCCCCAAAAACAAAACACATTTATTTTCAGCTATTGCATAGATGTGGCAGGAACACACAGAGTGAACACGTGTCTGTGTGTGTCTTTGTGTTCTCTTGCTAGGTCGACTCGGCCTCAAATGAGCACGTGGTGCGGGTGCGTAAGTATCGCCACTGGGGAGACAAAGGCGGCCGGGCGTGGTGCTGGCCACCCACCCCGTCGTGTGCCTTTCCGGCCTTCATAGGTGCTACTCGCTAACAGCTCTTGCCCCAACAGTCTTTTTAGGCTATACGGGGGGATCTTTGCCTTTGTTCGCATGCTCAAGCCTCCACAAGTCCTCACAGCTACACCACCTCCGCAGGCTTGCTACAGGTAAGCAGTGGCTAAACCACCTTGGCAACACGTGAACACTCTCACACACTAAGGCTGCGCAGTTGCAGTTTTGCTGGAACAAGTGCGTTTATCTTTTTTTATAGCCCTTTGTCAATCCCCTGCAGGGCGATGTCGACCCCTTGCCATTCAAGTCAAAATGAGGTGTACAAAATGTATTGGGTCTATTTTTACACGTCCACATTTTGTTATGAGTAATAAAACCGTGCTTACCGGGGGTGCAGGGGAAAGACAAGAAAATATGGGTCTCTGTGTGAGTCTTATGTATGTATGTTGAACTTCTTTCCCACCGTACGTAGCCAACTGTGCTAATCGGAGGTGTGTGGGAAGGACAACAAACTATGGGTCCCTGTGTGGGTCTATGGGTCTCTGTGTGAGTTTATGTGTCTCTGTGTGAGTCTTATGTATGTATGTTGAACGTCTTTCGCACCGTACGTAGCCAACCGTGCTAATCGGAGGTGTGTGGGAAGGACAACAAACTATGGGTCTGTGTTGGTCTATGGGTCTCTCTGTGTGAGTCTTTGCGAGGAAAGGAGAAGAAACTAAACACAAAAAAGCAGTTTGACAGAAATGTGTTTTCAATCTAGATGATGATTTAAAAGTGCACAGCTCCAGTGGCTTCCTAATAACGGAAGGAAGAACGTTGCAGACGGCCTCAGAAGCGCAGCAGAAAGCGCGCGATGCGGTGACCACCGTCTTTGTTCGATGGCCGGCCACAAGCCACGTGTTGTCTGGCACGATGTCCCGACGTTTCGCTCCATGCGCTGGGAGTTTTGTCGGCAGCCGAATAGCCAAGAGGAGAGGGCTAATGCCTATGGCGTTTCTCCTGCACCCTCCGATTAGCACTGTTGGTTGCGTACGGTGCAAAAGAAGTCCATCATACAAACGTACGCACGTATGACATCTCCGTATATATATAAAAGGCAAATTTGTGAATGTGTGTCTGTTCAAAATGTTTAGCGTACTTCCCGACATGCAACAAACTGGAAATTTGCTATGTGGGTACTTTCCAAACTGTACACCATGCAAAAATTATAAAAATACACTTTTTTTGGGGGGGGGGAGCTCAATAATGCATAGATTTTTTGCACGGCAAGTGAGCTGTGACGTCAAATCTGTCACGTGACCCGCGCCTGTGGAAGCGTAACGCATTGTAGTGTAGTGGTTAACGCGCTGTCTGTGTGTGTGACTGTGTGTCTGTGTGTGTGTCTGTCTGTGTGTGTATGTGTGTCTGTGTGTGTGTGTATGTGTGTGTGTGTCTGTGTATGTGTGGAAGCGTAACGCATTGTAGTGTAGTGGTTAGCGCACTGTGTGTGTCTGTGTGTGTGTCTGTGTGTGTGTGGAAGCGTAACGCATTGTAGTGTAGTGGTTAGCGCTACGCTGCGCTACGAGCCCGGTGACCCGAGTTCGATTCCCGCTCACAGCCAATACCGGTGACGATTATTACAGCCGGTCCTGGGCCTCCCCTAGGTTGACTCAGCCCCAAAAGAGTAACTGGTGTGGTGTGTCAACATCGCCACTGGGGGGACAAAGGCGGCCGGGCGTGGTGAATCCAAGTCCCGGCCGAAGCCATGGAGTAAAGCTAGTGACTTAAAATTTGAAGCCCAGTGATTGGCTACTGGAATAATTGCTGATATGAAGTACATATTATAAGTTGAGACCATTGCACTAACCTACCACACACACATGCGTTAGACCAACGCACTCATGCAGTACACAAAACTTATCTTTACATCAATCAGCCTACAGTGAAAATGTATTTTTCTACCTATTTCAGATACATTGTGGTGTCTAATTAAGACCGCTCGCTACATGTCTCTAGCAGACATGTAGGAATCTAGCCTATATTTATGAGCCCAAACGGTGACATTCAAGACGACAAACTTTTTTTTTGCATCGGGCAAACCGCAGATTGTTGGAAATGTCTCTGTTATAAAAATAAATTCAGACAGGAAGGATCGCAGACTGGTGCTATGCACTTCCGCATAGCCAAATAGAGGGCAAATCTGCTTACAGATAAAAACAAAATAAATTACAACAAATATCTAGGTCAGCAGTTAGCTGATTCAGTCTGTGGCTATATCTGAGTCTGTGGGTCTGGACATCGGTGAAAAAGAGCTTCATAGCTCATTGGATTCCTCGAGGATACATACAGATTCTGAGTCTATGGGTCTCTGTGTGATTCTGTGGGTCTCTGCGGCAGTCTATGGGTCTCTGCGTGAGTCTTTGTGTGAGTCTAGGGGTCTGTGTAAGTCTGTGGGTCTTTGTATGCGTTTGTGGGGGCGGGGGGAGGGGTAGGGGACATCAGTGGGGGCTACGGACGAGGCGCGAAGCGGCGAGAATCCCTCTGCAGGAGTCTGAGTAAGGCGGCGGTAGGCCGGTGAAATTCTAGTGAGCTCAATAAGTGTGCACAGACGCACGGAGAGGTGCGTGCTTGGAATTTCATTCAGAGACAGGACAGGTAAATCACCTGGGCTCACCTGCGCACATTTACCTGTTCACGGCTATGCTACAATTAAATACAACGTTCAGTGGGTACACACTGCACACGCCTGATGATTGATGAGCCTTTTTCTTCATTTGAATCGGCACTCTGGACGTCACATGTGGAACACACCAAAGACTAAGATCCCTCGATATATAGCCTTTGACTGACTGACCTTGGTCGTAATAATATTCTTCCATCTTCCCGGGTCACCAAATTAAGCGCAGCCTACTTTTCGTCTTCTTCTGTCGTACGGCTGATGTGGATGCAGAACAACAACTACGATTTCACATTCAGGTGGTCAAGCCCAGATAACCGCGTCCTGCCAGGAGTAGCGGAGTAGTGTATCACCGCTGTGATGTCTCCTTCGTATTTGTACAAAGGGGCATTGCGTAGTTATACGTTGTACGGTCCCGTTCTGGATGGACCACAGTTGCGCACACTGGAGAGTTTGTAATTTTCCATTTGTGCACCAGGTATCCGCGTATCTGCTGCTGCCATGGTTTGTGCAGTGAATGCGATTTAGGGTGGACCGTGAGCAGCTTCGTGGAAGATCGAATCCAGTGATGCGACACCATTGGTTGTCCTCTTTATAGATTTGGTATCTATCATCGTCGCCTCCAGGGGTGGAGCCCGGATTTCAGGCCGGGGTGACATTCAACAAATTTTAATTTCAAGAATGATTAGAGAGTCAGGCTGTTGAACTAGACGCCATCGGTTGGCGACACACTCTGACAATGCAGTTGCACAGAGTCCGCCAGACCGAGTGTCGTACACTTACACGCAGAATGTCACCCCTGTCACCCCCCCCCCTGGCTCCGCCCCTGCCTCCATCGATCAATTACAGCGAAGGCCTTCCCCTGAGCCGTCACCATCTCACGGTCTTGCGATGTAGCAATCCACCGAGCATCTACATGCGAGTTGATTTCATCGCTCGCATCTCCTCGGTAGACGAAGCCTTTACTTGTGAAGAATGCACAGTTTACACTGTTGCCCAACCGACAACTGAGATAAACATCTGAGATTGGTTTATCCGCAGAGAAAGTTTTGAAAATACTCGGTGCCAAGTTCCTGAAATAGCGACGACAATTGCCGTGAAAGTGATCATTTTTTTTCCGGCGCTTAATTCACTACCAAAAATAAACGTTTTCGGCCGAAGTTTTGCATCGCACGCATCGCTGACGGTCGCCCCTTCTTTTTTTGTCTCCCTTTTGACAGATGGGCCGTCCGCGTCGCGCCCTCGCGAGCGTCGCGAGAGATCTGGAATAGAGCGGCAAAAACCTCAGGGTGGAACGAATCGCCGCGAGGCGTAATGACAAACGGATAAGGGTAATCACAATTACTTAATTACAATAATTATTATAATTACCTCCTATAAATTATTATCTGCTTGACCAGCTGTGCATATCCACCCACGACAGTATGCGGTGGGGAATATCCACATTTATTTATAAAATACTAATATTAAATAATGTCCTTGCATCACCCAGGGAAGCCCCGCTGAGTTGCAAGACTCATTTTCAATGGAGTCCTGCGTTGGGCTTCTTTGGCCAATTTATAACGTGTGAAATAATGTTTTGCCCGATTGCGAGAGACAAAGAGAGAGAGGAGAGAGACTGGAGGACGCCAGGGGAAACGCACAACGTAACGCAAGGGGGGGGGGGGGGGGGGTTAGCACTGGTGGCCCTCGCGAGCGAACCCCCTCGCTGTGCTGGCCAACTCTTGTCCGTCTCGGACCTCGCCGTGACTCGCCGACGCTTTGCCCCCAAAGCCGTCGGCTCCAGGTTGTGTGGCACCGCGCCTCGCAGGGCGTGCGAGGTCTGCCCGCTGCCCGGGCAGCCGATAGTCCGGCGGGCATTGGTGCCACGGGGGTGGTGTCTCGGCGGTGGCGCTCCTGCCTCACGGCGAGAAGGGCCTGAGTGTGTCCTCTCCCCCCCCCACCCCCCCCCCCCCCCCCCCCCCCGCTGGGCTGCATGGATTTCTACCTTGGTTCTCCACAGTTTCCTCCCATAGCAAAAAAGAAAGAAAAAAAAAACCCCATGTGACTTGATATTGACCAATCACATCTGGCTGCAGAGCAAAGGTTTCCCTTGCGTTATGCGTAAGCAGATGCATTCCAGAAAGGGGGGCACACAAAAGTGAAACCGCACGAGGAGACGGATGCCTGCCGAGTAGCACGTATGGTACACACAGTACGCAATCAGTACACGCACCGTACACGGTACACAGACTGTGCATACAGTACACACGCAGTACACACAGACACTGCGTTGTCCCACGTCCGACCGCATGGCCACCACAGCTGAGTGAATTAGAACTGCGTATGGCAAATCTTTGGTAGAAATGCGTTGCCTGCGTATACAGCGAGAAATCCCACAAACCGAACCTGCGTAAAGCTCGGGGAACCCTGTCCTCAATTAAGATTACTGATAGCGACATCGTCCCCTGCTGCGAAAGCTTGGCAGGAGCCTCCCGAACAAGAGTCTTGAGACTCGGTGAGATATTCCTGGATAAACAAGCATGTAATAAAATTAAGATTACGATTGTAAAGGGAAATGCGTGTATAGGTTGCACTTCTTTCGCACCGTACGTAGCCAACCGTGCTTAATCGGAGCCAACCGTGCCAGTACACAATTGTACAGCTGTTATGATATTCGAGATTTGTGGCAAGGACCTGTGAGCAGATAAAACGACGATTTTGGTGATTACGATATGGGTAGCCCCCCCCCCCCCATCCGGTCACCCCATAAGGGTTCGCTTTTTTTTTCGATTTAAAGCTTTCGTGACTGCAAGGATTCATCTTCTTTGGTTCTTTCGGTAAAGTCACGTAGAATGAGAATAAAATAATAAACTAAAATAGGACAATAATATTCTCATTCTACGTGACTTTACCGAAAGAACCAAAGAAGGTTCCCTTTTTGTTTGTTGCTGACCCTTAAAAGGCGTACAGACTTCACGAAGGCATATATTTCACACTTTGCCTATGACCGCGTGAGCGTAGGAATGCGCCCGGTCTCGTCAGACCTCGAAAAGCATGTGGGGTGAGGCCGTGGGATAGTGCCTGGATGGGGGGGGGGGCCCCCCCGCCCCGCCGTTCATCAAACAGGTGGCACCGGCGCGGCCGCTGGGCCACGTTACCGGCAGAGAGGAGTTCGTCGCCCTCAATTGTTGCTCCTCCCCAGCGTCTTCATCGAATTCATATTTATCGAGTGCCTTGAGTGAAGCCGCCTTCGCTCAAGGCACACACTACGGGCGCGGCTTAGAAAACGACGACAGAGCGGGACTACGGCGATGGACGGGGGAGGGGGGATGGGATGGGGTGGGGGAGCGTGCTGCAAGGGTCGAGGAATGAGTGCCGGCGGCCATAGAGGGGCTGCTCAGGGGATCACGAAAGGGCTATAGGGGAGGGACGGGAAGGAGCGTGGAGGGTTGCGAGGGGAGGGGAGAGAATGGGGCAATCGAGAAGGGGCGAGGGTTTAAGAGAGGAACGGAAGGAGGGGGTTAAGGAGGGGGACTGCTTCATGTTCAAACGGCACTGTCCTGCATGGTGACGTGGTTAATTCACACCCATGACCTACGTCGCGTGTTGAAAGCCCTCGTCCAGCAGTGGAGCGACAAAAAGGACTGTGCATGCACATGTATGTACGTTGAACTTCTTTCGCACCGTGCATAGCCAACCGTGCTATGTACGGAGGTGCGGGGGAAGGACAGCAGACATGTTTTACTCATCCTACCCACCATTTGTGTCTTCATCCATGATCACATTGCGTTTTAGGAAGAACCGAGCCAATCCTGATGCCCAATATAGTTGCAATAGAGAATTGTTAGTGGGCTGCGCAATACAATTCAACGTGGATTGCTTTCACCTCTAAAGGCCAGCGCATCGCAGATCGTTACGCAAAAATATTTTTAGAATTACCAATGTCGATGTACAACCCTCGCGTGAACCTGCTGCTCGATGTAACACGCTTTGAGTCGACATCTAAGCTTCCCAACAAATGCAAGTCCTCCCGGCGCGGAACTATTCGGTGGGTCACTGGCCCGCGGGAGCTGCTGTGGTCTGCGGCGCAACGGCGAGCGCCGTAGGGGTAGAAATCCAGGGGTCGCCTTTGTCGCTTTTATTTTCTGGCGCAGCAGCAGTTCAGTCAACGGTGCGGGTTTCTTAAATCCGCCCCCCCCCTCCCCCACCGCTTCTGTCCGCCCAGCGGTGTAAATGGCTGCGAACCGCAGTTGGTCGATCGGCTGGCCGCGTGTGACGCGCGTGGGGAATGCGTGTCGCATTCCGCGCCGGCGCAGTCACGTAGGCCACCGCTGTAGCCGTTTCCTTTCGCTCTCGGCAGCAAAGAAAAACGCCGGCGGCGGCCGACGGCCGACGGCCTCAGCCCTCGGACGGCACGGCCCCGCGGACATGGCCGGCGCCGGCTGGACCTCCCAGCGGTTCCTCAAGAGCCAGCGCGAGCGACTGCCTCGCGCGATGGCGCCCTGCGTCGCCAGCGTCCTCGACTCGATGGTGGCGTGGGGCTTCATCAACCACGAGGAGCACGAGGACGTGGATTACCGGCGGCCCACCGAGGCCGCCCGCCATCTGCTCACGATCGCCGAGGGCAAGGGCGAGGAGGTGGAGCAGGCTCTGCTGCTGGCGCTGTGGGTGCGCGGCTGCGTTGAGCCGCCCGCCGAGATGCGGGCGCCGCTGGTGGCGCTGCGGGACGAGCTGGATGCCCGGTGCGCCGCTTGCGTGGGAGAAGATCCGGAGGCGAGGCTCAGGAGGATCCGGCCGGCGCTGGTGGAGAGCTTTGACGACGTCGGGAAGGTGGTGGAGGAGCTGGTGCAGCAGGGGGCGCTCAGCGCGGAGGACCACGAGAAGATCCTGCTGCCCTCCTACACGAGGCCCGAGCAGGTGGAAGGTTTTTATTAATTTTTTTCAATTCCGTGATCGAGCGTCATTCTTCAAATTTGTATTAAGTGTATGCGTACATGTTATATGTACGTTGATCTTATTTCGCATCGTACGTAGCCAACCGTGCTCATCGGAGGGTGCAGGAGAAATGTCACAGGCATTAGCAATATTCAATTGTGGATGGAATTCCCAGCGCGTGGAGCAAAACGTCGGAACACCGTGCCGATCAACACTCGGCTTTTGGCTACCCATCGAACAAAGACGGTGACTGCATCACACGTTTTTATATGCGCTTCTGCGGCCGTCTGGAACGCTTCGTTCTGATATTAGGAAGCCACTGGAGCTATGCACTTTTAAATCATCTAGATTGAAAATTCATTTCTTTAAAACTGCTGGGTGAGTGACTTTATGGGTGGGGGTGAGTTAGTAAGTCGATGGGTGGGTGGGTGAGTAGGTGAATGAGTGCGAGGTTGGTTGGGTGAATGGGAGGGTGGGTGAGTGAGTGGTTGAGTGAGTGGGTGTGTTATTGTGAGCCGCAGTGTGGCGGTTGACCACCGTGCGAATGAGGCACAGCAGTCAGTCTGCTCGACCGAGTCCTCGACACGGTGTGCACGTATCTATAGCAAAACTTGCGTTCGCTGTGTAATGATTCCATGAGCGGTTTTCCTTTAATCCATCTCTTGGCGCTGCCGTGTGTCCCCCCCCCTTCCCCCTCTCCCGCAAGGTCCGAACCCTGCTCAATTTACTTGATGCCAAGGGCCCGCAAAGCGCGACGGCCTTCCTGAACTTGGTCGACGTGGAGAAGATCACCGAGCAGGGACCGTTGAAGCCCCCAGGTGTCGTAGTGCGCCCGCCGGCCACGGTGGCCACAACATTTTACGACGAGTTAATTAAACTAGACTGAATCGATAAAGAAATGTTTTTGTAATGTACGAAGGTAAGGCTCCACCAAGCTGTTTAGCTCTTTTTCAGAAGCGAAACCAGGCCATTGCAAATGAGAGCTCAACGAAGCGGGCTTATCGTCGTGTGGAAATTCACAGCAGCCAAACACCCTATAAACGCGTGACGTTGATTCTACAAGTGGAGGGGAAAACCGGAGGACTCGGAAAAAATCCACACCACCGCGGGGAGAGAGAGACTCGCAAACGCCACATATATATACAGGTGTCGGGGTCGGGATCGAACCCACGACCTCCTGCATACCAAGCGAGGGATGATGATGAGAGAGAGACACGCAAACTCCAAATATACAGCAGCAGGCATCAGCCCCTTATCAGTGCCCCCACTTATTACAGACCAATTCAGACCTTATTGGCCACCCCGTGCCCTTAAACATCTCAAAGTCCATCCTACAAAGTCCCATCGCAAGGGAGAAACACAAACAAATAGACAATAATCATTTTGCCCGTATTGAATCGGCTGTACGCCGTATAGACCTGAAAACTGAATTTTCCGGTACAAGAATACGGGGTAAACCTTGATGGGTTGACAGCTAGCAGTGGCCTCACCCCCATTTCGTGTAAAGCAGTGAAGGTAAATCCCCGAAACACAAATTAATCACGGGCACGTAAGTTACAACTTACTTTGTTTCATCAAACCTTATGTATTAACGTCATTTTTTTTTACGATTGAGAAGCAAAAGGGATGCAAGGCTGCAAGCAAAGGTTAAGAACCACTGCTGTGAAGGGTTGGGAGGACACTTCCAGGGTTTTTGGCCAGACAAGTTCTGTGAAATATCGCTTTCGAGAGCCATTCTAACACACGGGGTGCGCTGCCCCAGCGATATTTACAATGGATTATTCAATGGATTATTCATCGCGGGACACAGTGCTCGTAGAACAAGTGGAATTTATTCCGAGTCGGGGGGAGGGGAAACTACTAAAAAAATTGTTGATTACCAGATCTAAATCGAGTGACCACGTCACTCCTATTCTTTCCTCCCTGCACTGGCCCCCTGTAAAAGAGCGTTTGGCTACTGCTGTAAATGTCCACGCGATAAGCCACTTCGTCGGGCTATCATTTGCGATGGCCATGTCGCTTCTGAAAAAGAGGCCACGTGGCTCAGTGGGCCTCACCTGAAAGGTAAAATATATCGACGAATAAATAGACTGGCGATAAGGCAAGCGGATCGTAAACCCAACGAGCTCGGCCGCTCGCCAACCCCCACGCTCGTCGCGTTCCCCCCCGCCCCCCCCCACAACCCTTGGGCGCAGTCCACGCCTTCCGGCGCAAGCTGCAGGACCACCACGAGACGAGCTCGCGCCACCTGCTCGCGTACAGCCGTCGCGAGCACGCCCTCCTGGACGACGTCTACGTCGAGGTGCAGCTGCAGGCGCTGATGCAGCCGGGCCGCCCGTCGGAGAGCGTCACCCTCGACTCGCTGGCTCGGGGCGAGTGGACGAGCGACCGGGAGCGGAAGGACGTGCTGCTGGTGACGGGAGACGCCGGCAGCGGCAAGACCACGCTGCTGCAGAGGCTGACGGGCGAGTGGTCCCGCGGCAGGCTCCTGAGCTGCTTCGAGCTGGTGTTCGCCTTCGGCTGCGGCCAGCTGAACGTCGTGAAGAAGGAGCTCTCGCTCCGGGAGCTGCTCTTCAACCACTGCTGCAGCCCCGGCGACGGCGGCGGCGGCGGCCTCGACGTTGTCGTGCGCTACATCGCCGGCCACCCGGAGAAGGTCCTCTTCTGCTTCGACGCCATCGACGAGTTCCGCGAAGACTTCCTGGCCGAGGGCCGCGTTTGCGCGTCGACGGAGGAGCCCGTCCCGATGGCCGACCTCCTCAAGAACCTCCTGCAGGGCAACGTGTTGAGGGGCTCGAAGAAGATCGTGACGGCCCGGACGGGCGCGTCCCTGCAGCCGCTGGACGTGCACGTGTGCAGGAGGGTGGCGATCGCGGGCTTCTCCGACGACGCCGTCCTGCGGTACCAGCAGAAGTTCCACAGTGAAGAGGGCGCCAGGAGGAACGCGTGCGAGCTCATCCGGACCAACCCGGACATCCGGAGCCTCTGTCAGGTGCCGCTCTACTGCTGGATCGTCTCCAAGTGCTACGACAGGATCGGCGGCCGCGGCGGCGTGTCCACCGTCACCGAGATCTACCTGTCGATGCTCGAGGTGTTCCTGACCCGCGGCGAGTCGAAGGCGGCGCCGACGAGCCGGGCGACGCTCTTCCGCGCCAACAGGGACGCGCTTCTGCGGATCGGGAAGCTCGCGCACGTCGGCCTGCTCGCCGCGCGGACGTCGTTCACCACGCCCGACCTCGACGCCTGCGGCGTGACGCAGCGGGACCTGGCCCTCGGCGCGACGGTCCACACCCGGCGGTACTTGGGCTTCGGCGAGGGCGACGTGTTCGGCTTCGTGCACTTCACGGTGCAGGCGCTCTTTGCGGCGCTGTACGCGGTCGCGGGCGCCGAGCTGGGGCCCGACGCGCTGCTCGCCCACTTCCCGAACGCCGTGCGGCCCAAGGCGGTCAGGCGGGCGGTCGGCGCGCTCGGCTCGTGCGTGGCCGCGGCGGCGGAGGCACCGCCGGGGCCCGGCGCCGCGCCTAGCCGGCCCCTCGCGGGCAGCGGCGGGGCCAACCTCCGCGCCGTGTGCCAATTTGCGAGCGGCCTGCTTTCCAAGAGGCACGGCGAGCTGCTGGCGTGCCTGGCGGACAAGGCCTCCGTGCGGCGCAAGCGGGCCGCCGTGAGGAAGCAGCTGAGGCGCAGCGTCAAGGACCACGTCCGCAGGCTGGACGACCGCGACGGGCACCTGACACCGGATTTCGTGTGGGTGCTACGCTGGCTCTTCGAGTTCCAGGAGGAGAAGGTGGCGCGTAAGGCGGCGCGCGACTTTGCGGGCGGCCACGTGAAGCTGAACTACACGTCGCTGGGCCCGGCGGACTGCACCTGCCTGTCCTACCTGCTGCGCCACCTGCCTCGGCCCGTCATCGCGGAACTCGACAACAACTTCATCGGAGACCTAGGCCTGCAGCAGCTGCTGCCCTGCATCGGAAAATTCTCCGAGCTCAGGTCGGTTGTTCCTCCTCGTCCGCCTGCCTCCCTCCTTTCTTGCGCGTGGGTTCCTGCGAAACCTCTCCCAAGACGAACCGATTGGGGGGCAACCCCATCAACATCGGGAGTTGTTAGGAAGCCACCGGAGCTACGTACTTTTAAATCTCGAGTGAACACTCATTCTTGAGAACCGCTTTTTGTGTTTAGTTTGTTGTCCTCCCTTCCGCACCTCCCATTATCAAGGGTGGCTACGTTCGGCGCGAAAGAAGTTCAACATATTTCGATTTAAAGCTTTCGTGACTGCAATGATTCATCTTCTTTGGTTCTTTCGGTAAAGTCACGTAGAATGAGAATAAAATAATAAATTGATAAAATAAAATAACACAATAATATTCTCACGACGTTTCGGCCACAACACAAGCGGCCTTCATCAGGTGCTGTCCTACCAGACAGTCTCGTCCCTTCACCTGATGAAGGCCGCTTGTGTTGTGGCCGAAACGTCGTGAGAATATTATTGTGTTATTTTATTTTATCAATTTATTATTTTATTCTCATTCTACGTGACTTTACCGAAAGAACCAAAGAAGAAGTTCAACATACACACATACATAGACTCGCACAGAGACCCATAGAGTCACACAGAGACCTGTAGTAAGTTTGTCATTCTTCCGCACCTCCGATTAGCACGGTTGGCTACGTACGGTGCAAAATAAGTTCAGCATACACCGGGGTGGGTGTTAGAGGGGGGGAGTGGTGGAGGGGGCTGGGGGTTATTGTTAAATGGCTCGCGACTATTTTACACGCTTTCATTTAACTCACTCCGTCTGTTGTTGTATCTTCAAATCTTGTAACTCAATTTTAACCCACTTCCCAATGTGGTATCCACTGCAAACTTGGTATACTTATGTCATACTGATGACAATACTATATTCTATCATGAAAAAAAATCTAAATATATATTTTTAAACAATATTTTTTACATGTTATGTTTCGGCTTGGGTATAATTGTCCACGGTCAACTGACGTTGGCTGTAATTGACCACGGTCCCCTTACGTGATGGCAAGCTTCGGGGCCACTTCCTGGTGTCGTGCAGTTCTGCCATTACTAGTACATTTCATAAAAGCGTGTTTAAAAAAACGTTTTTTTATATATATTACTTATTTAAATTAAGTACGTGATCCCACCGATCACGTTGGGCTTTTAAAAGTCGTATTGTTGATATTGTCCTCTTGAACAGAGTTTGCAGAGTGATCCTGGCCCTGAAAGCAGGTGATGTTATTTGCTCGTCATCTGATTAGATTTGTTTTAAATGCGGAGATTGCTCCAATGTGTATGGTCCATCTCCCCCCTTGCTCCTCTTCGTAATAAATCATGAGGCAAGATGCCAGGTTTCATAGCACTAAGCATTTCACAGCTTTGTACTTGTATAGCCATTTTACCAATCCACTGCTGGATGAAGGCCTCCCTAACACTTTGTCGGTTGTTTGACCATACTTCACCACGCTGGTCAGCACGGGTTGGTGAAATTGGGGACCCGGGACCGACCGAATTAGATACAACTCGCCGCTGACGCTATCTGTGGCCGGGAATCAGACTTGGCCTATCAGGTTCGTCGCGCAGTGCGCTCTCCGCTACGCTCTCCGCTACGCTCTCCGCTACGCTCTCCTCTCCGCTCTCCTCTCCGCTCTCCGCTACGCTCTCCTCTACGCTCTCCTCTCCGCTCTCCGCTACGCTCTTGCTTCATTGTTATATCCGGAAGACGTCCCACCCGATTAATCGGCCGCATTATCTTTTTTTTCTCTCGCGCGGTTTTGTCTTGCAGACTCAGCATCAACAGGATAACGGACAGAGGCGTCGACATCCTGATTCCTGAACTGATAAAGCACAACATCGTCACCTTTCTGGGGTAAATGACGGCACGGACGATGCATCCCTGTGGGAATCGTTAGACGGCTTGTTTAAAAAAAAAAAAATCACGTTTCCACAAACCAATTTGTACATTCCACCGGCACCTAAGCCGTTGACTCTACCCCGAGCGCTCACTTGCGCAACTCGTTTGCATGGAACCGAGTTGCTTGTCTGTGGACCTTTCTGCAAGCGGTTGCGAGCAATTGCACAACTCCGTGGTTCACGGTAGAGGCGGGCTCGGCTCTAAAGCATCGGTCTGCCCGGCGATTCGCAACGCATCGCCGCGTGACACGTTTGCGAACTGTGATTGGTCGCCGCGGTCCCGACGAATACGCCGTTCAATTTTCACGTTTATTGCGCGACTGCCCGCGCGGACGTGGACAAAGCGTCTAGCGGGCCGCGATGACGTTGCGCGCGATTTCCAGAGTGACCCCGGTCGCACGCCTGCACAGTCGGTGATCCCGCGCACCCGGCGATCGGACAAAGCGCGCAAGGGGGGGGAGGCGCTTCAAACAGGCGTCCCCGCAACGCCCAGCGTAACGACGTACACACACCGTAATAACGCCCAGTGTAACGACGTACACACACCGTAATAACGCCCAGCGTAACGACGTACACACACCGTAATAACGCGCAGCGTAACGACGTACACACACCGTAATAACGCGCAGCGTAACGACATACACACACCGTAATAACGCGCAGGGTAACGACGTACACACACTGTAATAACGCGCAGCGTAACGACGTACACACACCGTAATAACGCGCAGCGTAACGACGTACACACACCGTAATAACGCCAAGCGTAACGACGTACACACACCGTAATAACGCCCAGCGTAACGACGTACACACACCGTAATAACGCGCAGCGTAACGACGTACACACACCGTAATAACGCGCAGCGTAACGACGTACACACACCGTAATAACGCCCAGCGTAACGACGTACACACACCGTAATAACGCCCAGCGTAACGACGTACACACACCGTAATAACGCCCAGCGTAACGACGTACACACACCGTAATAACGGCGCGCCGTTGTTTTCTGCCGGGTTGTCCCCCCCCTCCCCTTCCCCCCATTCACACAGGCTCTATAAAAACCAACTCACGGACGAGTCGACCCCTTTGCTTGCTGAGCTCGTCACCAAGAGCAGCCACCTCAAGACGCTCGCGTAAGCCGCTAGCCGGTGCCATCGCGGTCGCACGCGGGCCCTCCTTTGATCGTGGAGGGCAGGGCGGTGGCGCGCAGTGGTTATAACGACCGTGCCTCGCAGCAAGAAGGTTCCGAGTTCGATTCTCAAACTCTGGCGCCTTGCTGCTGTGTGGTGTTTGTACGTTCTCCGCGGGGTTCTTCGGTTTTTCGCCCCGCAGCTGAAAGTAAACCCCCGATGCGCAATGCGCAATCGGTGACGGACGGAAAGCATCCCAGTGCTGCGACGTTGCCTGCGAATTGCTCGATTTTTCAACGCGGATTACACGTGGCAACTGCAGCAACTTGGGCAGGGCCCTTCTGTAAATAATCGCGAGGCTTTGCTTTTGCGTGGGCAAACAAGAGGGGCAGTAAAATAAATGTCACTTCCGTCGCAGTACCCTTTGGCCCTTTCGGTGAAGTCACGTAGTTAGAAATAAAATTAAAACAAATCACGACGTTTCGATCGCAACACGAGCGGTCGTCATCAGGCGTCTTTTTTTTTTTTAAACCTCTTCGTCGCCAAACCACCAGCCCGGACACGTATTTACGTAACGCTTTACAGCGTGCATTTGTCCTCGTAAATAACGAGTGATCGTAAAGGTCGCCTTGTAAAGGATATCTGTTTGCTTTTTGAACATCTTAACACCTCCTGTCTTATTTCCAGAAAGGGTAAAACCTTTTCTTCTTTTTTATACTTTGATACTGGCAAACACATTCTCCTGCGGAGGGAGCTGGTAGGGACGTTGGGTTGCTCTGTCAATGGCCAGGGTCAACGGCGGCGTGGTGCATTCCGCAAATATTCCCGACTGTGAGGGCGGGCACAAGCCGGCGTGAGTAGGTTAAACGTTGAGTTTTATAAGGGCACCACGGGGTGATCAGCCCCTCCCCACCCAGCCCCACCCCACCCATTTTTGGATGCACGACGGACGGACACAATAATCCCCTGTGGGCTGGTGGTGTAACCAGGAGGTTCCTTACCAGTAAAAGGTATCCCATGATATAGCTGCTGCTCACCCCGAGCTATAAAAGCTCTGCCACGCGTGGCATTGTCTTTGTATCGTTCGCCTTTTGGCGTTGTTCTCTGGTCTGACACTGGTGGTGATACTAGGCCCTAAAGAAGGCTGTCTCTGCTCTACCCTGACCAGTTTCAAAGACAACGCGTCATAGATTAGATTTGGAGTTTTCGTGACTGCAAGGATCCACACTCTTTGGTTCTATTCGGTAAAGTCACGTAGGTAAAAAAATAAAACAACAAAAATCACGACGTTTCGGCCACAACACAAGTGGCCTTCTTCAGGTGAAGGAACAGAACTGTCGGGACGACAAGAGCTTCAGTGAATGCTGCTAAGATTCGTAGCGTCTTTTAAGCTGGGTGAGAGAAGTGAGGCACCTTGACAAAGGAGTTTACATATCAAACAGGAGAATTGAGCTATTTCAATGACAGAAGTGAGGCACCTTGACAAAGGAGTTTACATATCAAACAGGAGAATTGAGCTATTTCAATGCTATATTCTCCTGTTTGATATGTAAACTCCTTTGTCAAGGTGCCTCACTTCTCTCACCCGGCTTAAAAAACGCTACGAATCTTAGCAGCGTTCATTGAAGCTCTGTCGTCCCGACAGTTCTGTTCCCTCACCTGAAGAAGGCTACTTGTGTTGTGGCCGAAACGTCGTGATTTTTGTTTTATTTTTTACCTACGTGACTTTACGATTCGTATTTTATCGCCTTGTGCACGAGTTATTTCGCCCGATAGCGTTGCGGGCGGACGAATAGGACGGATTGAACACACGCGAACGTTTTCAGAATCAGAATGTTTAATCTATACTGGAGGAATCCGATGAGCCATGAAGCGCTTTTTCACGCACGTCCATCGTCGGCAAACTTCAAACGTCCGCGTGAATGCGTCGCGCGCCGTTAATCTCACGTTGAACAAACCACCGCTTCACCAGAACTGTTGGCGTCTGTTAGAGAACCTGTCCCAGGTGATCGACCATTTCTTTGCCTTGTGCTCTGTCTTGCTTTCCGGCTCCGCCAGGCTGGGAGAAAATCGCATCACCGGTGACGGCATGGTCCCCCTCGCCAACGCCATCAAGCACAGCAAGTCGCTCAAATTAATCCTGTAAGTCTTGCACCGGTCACTCGGTCCTTGGGTAAGCCATTGGCTCGACCGGTTGCTGGGCAGGTTAACGGGAGAAGTTTTTGTGCAGGTTATTGAATCGGATGGCAATCGCCTATACACTACACTATACACTACTATACACTACTATATACTACACTATACACTACACTACACACTACTATACACTACACTATACACTACACTATACACTACTATATACTACACTATACACTACTATACACTACACTATGCATTACTATATACTACTATACACTACTATACACTACACTATACACTACACTATACACTACTATATACTACACTATACACTACTATACACTACACTATACATTACTATATACTACACTATACACTACTATACACTACACTATACACTACACTATACACTACTATATACTACACTATACACTACTATACACTATACTATACACTACTATATACTACACTATACACTACTATACACTACACTATACATTACTATATACTACACTATACACTACACTATACACTATACATTACTATATACTACACTATACACTACTATACACTACACTATACACTACACTATACACTACTATATACTACACTATACACTACTATACACTACACTATACACTACTATACACTACACTATACACTACTATACACTACACTATACATTACTATATACTACACTATACACTACACTAAGAGTCTGCAGCATGACATGCGCACACTGGTCATCATTTGACTCGGCGTCGGTAGCAGTCGTTGGGCGGTCGTGGATACGAGTTTCGCTCGTTACTGTGGGGGTCTTACTGACTAAGAAAGGCCTTAAAAGCTGGGGGTTGCAAGTCAAGCCGTCGTAAATCGGGGGTCGCCCATATGTATGCTGAACTTCTTTCTCACCGCACGTAGCCAGCAGTGCTCATCGGAGATGTGTTGTCCTTACGCCCGCACCTCCGATGAGCACGGTTGGCTACGTACGGCGCGAAAGAAGTTCAATATACATCTATGTAGACATTCCTGCCCTCACAGCCATTTTAAATCTCAGGGAAATGCAGTGGGGAGACTGTCACGTGAAGGAACACAGAGCCAGTGGCAGCTGGGTTGATTAGGAAGATAATAATGGCTATGTCTGAGCGGCGAAACGGAAAGTGTGGGTGTGACTCCGGGCCACGGCCCACGGTTAAACTTGCGTGCGGTGAGTTCCGCAAGAGTGAATGTTCTTCCTTCTTGTACCGCTGCTTCAATGTCAAACGAAGGGAAATTAGCAAATCGGCCGGAGGTTCGTGAAGGGTGGCGGCTGCGATTTAAAAAATGAAACCTCATTACGCACCATTGCGGAACATTGCGGGTAATATTTAGAACAAAGTAAGGAAGGAAAAATCGTGCCTATGAATGGATAAAGCAAATGCCTTTTTCTTCAGAAGTGTTTAGCGATATTTCATCCTCGCAGTAGCGGCTTTCGGCTCAGCCATCGAACAAAGGTGGTGGTCACCGCATCGCGGGGGGCTTTCAGACGCGCTTCTGCGGCCGTCTGGAACGCTCTTCCTTCCGCTATTAGGAAGTCACTGGAGCTATGCACTTTTAAATCGTCTCTAGATTGACGAACTAATTTATTTAGAACTTCTTTTTGTGTTTAGTTTGTTGTCCGTCCCCCGCACCTCTGATTAACACGATTGGCTACGTACGGTGCGAAAGTAATTCAACATATACGCATCTTGAGCCGCACTTTAAGATGACGTCACATGGCGTGTCTTGGCGAACAACCCGTGCCGGAGATATCACAGAATTGCTTCTGAAATTCCTTCATTATCTCGCACGCCCAGCTGAAATTGTTCATTGCGTTGCAGTCGGAATGTATATATATATTTCTATTTCCAAAATTAAAGTGCAAAGCCAAATTTAATTTGATAGGTTTTTTTTTTCAGCCATTGGTGACCTGGCTGAGACCATCAAATCACTACACTTGATAACCCGGTTTAATCGCAGGCAGCTTAATATCCCGATTTAAACCCAGCTCTCAACAGTGGGTCACTCAGTGCTCTGGCCCCTGAGTCGGTTTGCCACCTAAGAGGTGGGATTATAATCACCCATCTGCCTCCCTGTCTCCCGCCCTGTCTCCTACCCTCCCTGACTGTCTCCCTGTCTCCCACCCTCTCTCCTTCCCTCCTCGACTGTCTCCCCATCTCCCGCTCTGTCTCCCCGTCTCCCTGTCTCCCGCCCTGTCTCCTACCGTCCCTGACTGTCTCCATGGCTCTCACCCTCTCTCCTTACTTCCCCGACTGTCTCCCCATCTCCCGCTCTGTCTGCCCGTCTCCCTGTCTCCTGCCCTGTCTCCTACCCTCCCTGACTGTCTCCCTGTCTCCCACCCTCTCTCCTTACCTCCCCGACTGTCTCCCCATCTCTCACTGTCTCCCTGTCTCCCACCCTGTCTCCTACCGTCCCTGACTGTCTCCCTGTCTCCCACCCTCTCTCCTTCCCTCCCCGACTGTCTCCCCATCTCCCGCTGTCTCCCCGTCTCCCTCCCTGTCTCGGCGCAGCCTTTGGGGAAATGCAGTTGGGGACAGAGGAGCGGAGTGCCTGGCGGACGCGCTGGAGGTGAACGCCACACTCGAATTCATCAGGTGCGAGTCGACATGCGACAGCGACGAAAATGAACCCCCCCCCATTATAAAATTAAAGAATGAACCGAATGAATGTGACGGCTGAAGTGGCGCAAGGTGTGTCAGTATCAGCGCGGGGGAGACAAAGGTGGCTGAACGTGGCTATAGCCAAAGCACACCCTTGTTGTGCCATGCCCCACATAATAGACGCTCTGCGTACGTACGTCTACGTGTGAGTCTATGTATGTACGCTGAACTTCTTTCGCACTGTACATGGCCAACCGTTCTAATCGGAGGTGCGGGTGAAGCACAGCAAACTAAACACAAAAAGCTGTTTTAAAGAAATTAAGTTTTAAATCCCGATTTGCAGGTGAACAGATTCCGGCGGCTTCCTAACATCGGAAGGGAGAGCGTTCCAGACGGCCGCAGAAGCGCATTTGAAAGCGCCGCGCGATGCTGTGACCACCGTCGTCTTTGTTTGACGGCTGAGCCAAAGGCCGCCGCTGCCGCTGCGAGGGTGACCGGAGTTCGCGTGGCCACGCTTTCCGCTCCTTGACGATGCTGTGAGACCCTTGCTTGCACTGTAGTTCACGGGGGGGGGGGGTCTTTGTGTGCATGTTCGGTGGCGCAGCTTGGTGAGCAACAAAGTGGGGCACGCCGGGGTGGCGCGGTTGGCCGATGTCTTGCACAGGAACAGCACTTTAAAGACCCTATGGTATGTATGGGTATTTTGTGCAAAGCGCTGCGAGGCTTTGCGGGAATTTGCGCCGTGTAAAACAGCTATGGGTCTCTGTGTGAGTCTATGGGTCTGTGTGTGAGTCTATGGGTCTCTGTGTGAGCCTTTGGATCTCTGTGTGAGTCCATGGGTCTCTGCGCGAGTCTATGGGTCTCTGTGTGAGCCTTTGGATCTCTGTGTGAGTCTATTGGTCTATGTGTGAGTCTGTGGGTCTGTGTGTGAGTCTATGGGTTGTGGAAACTCCCTGGCACGTGTTGTGGAAGCTCCCCGGCACGTGTTGTGGTAGCTCCCCAGCACGTGTCGTGGTAGCTCCCCGGCACATGTTGTGGTAGCTCCCCGGCACGTGTTGTGAAAGTCCCCCGGCACGTGTTGTGGTAGCTCACCGGCATGTGTTGTGGAAGCTCACCGGCACGTGTTGTGGAAGCTCACCGGCACGTGTTGTGGAAGCTCTCCCGCACGTGTTGTGGTAGCTCACCGGCACGTGTTGTGGAAGCTCCCCGGCACGTGTTGTGGTAGCTCACCGGCATGTGTTGTGGAAGCTCACCGGCACGTGTTGTGGAAGCTCACCGGCACGTGTTGTGGAAGCTCTCCCGCACGTGTTGTGGTAGCTCACCGGCACGTGTTGTGGAAGCTCACCGGCACGTGTTGTGGAAGCTCTCCCGCACGTGTTGTGGTAGCTCACCGGCACGTGTTGTGGAAGCTCCCCGGCACGTGTTGTGGTAGCTCGCCGGCATGTGTTGTGGAAGCTCACCGGCACGTGTTGTGGAAGCTCACCGGCACGTGTTGTGGAAGCTCTCCCGCACGTGTTGTGGTAGCTCACCGGCACGTGTTGTGGAAGCTCTCCCGCACGTGTTGTGGTAGCTCACCGGCACGTGTTGTGGAAGCTCACCGGCACGTGTTGTGGAAGCTCTCCCGCACGTGTTGTGGTAGCTCACCGGCACGTATTGTGGAAGCTCCCCAGCACGTGTTGTGGTAGCTCACCGGCATGTGTTGTGGAAGCTCACCGGCACGTGTTGTGGAAGCTCACCGGCACGTGTTGTGGAAGCTCTCCCGCACGTGTTGTGGTAGCTCACCGGCACGTGTTGTGGAAGCTCTCCCGCACGTGTTGTGGTAGCTCACCGGCACGTGTTGTGGAAGCTCACCGGCACGTGTTGTGGAAGCTCTCCCGCACGTGTTGTGGTAGCTCACCGGCACGTGTTGTGGAAGCTCCCCGGCACGTGTTGTGGTAGCTCACCGGCATGTGTTGTGGAAGCTCACCGGCACGTGTTGTGGAAGCTCACCGGCACGTGTTGTGGAAGCTCTCCCGCACGTGTTGTGGAAGCTCACCGGCACGTGTTGTGGAAGCTCTCCCGCACGTGTTGTGGTAGCTCACCGGCACGTGTTGTGGAAGCTCACCGGCACGTGTTGTGGTAGCTCACCGGCACGTGTTGTGGAAGCTCACCGGCACGTGTTGTGGAAGCTCACCGGCACGTGTTGTGGAAGCTCTCCCGCACGTGTTGTGGAAGCTCACCGGCACGTGTTGTGGTAGCTCACCGGCACGTGTTGTGGAAGCTCACCGGCACGTGTTGTGGAAGCTCACCGGCACGTGTTGTGGAAGCTCTCCCGCACGTGTTGTGGTAGCTCACCGGCACGTGTTGTGGAAGCTCACCGGCACGTGTTGTGGAAGCTCACCGGCACGTGTTGTGGAAGCTCCCCGACGCGCCGTCCAGCCGGGGAAAAACTCGTCGGGGGGGGGGAGTGGTAGCCCGTTTTGGTTATAGGTTTTAATTTGCCGCTGTCGCCACTGCCACCTACCACTACCGCTGCCACCACTGCCCACCGCTGCCGCCACTTCCCACCACTGCCCACCGCCACTACCCACCACTGCCGCCACCGCGGCTGCTTCTGCCGTTGAGCAGGTTAGGTGAGAACGATCTGGGCGATGAAGAAGCTTTCCTGTTGGCCGATTGTCTCAAATCCAACAAAGGTCTCAAAGAACTCTGGTAATTAAACTTTTTTTTTCTCTTCTCTCATTGTCGTCGGCTGACGGTGAGATGGAAGCCTCAAAAGTAATTTGTAATGTGTTTTAACAACAGCAACAAAAACGCACCACTATTTTTTATTTGTCCGACGTATAATTCCAGTATTTAAGACCGACGGAGATGAGATATTGGCACTCTAAATGCATTGTTGTTCATCGACGGGCGACTGTTAATATAAAATCGTGTTCTCCACTTGCGTGGTGAAAGGCTGAACAAGAACAAGATCACGATGTCGGGGGCGCGCGCTCTGCTGGACGCGTTGGAGGACAATGCGACCGTCGAGAAAGTGGTGTGAGTGTCGTGGACGCGGCCGAGCGCGATAGTGCTGGACACGCATTGTGTTTCTTTTTATTAGCGTCGATCACGGTGGTTCGGCTACGTCTCGGGCACACGTGGAGGAGGGGGGCTCGCCATCGCGCAGCCCCCCGACCTATCGAGTTGGCCGTCCCCGCTTGCCCATTCCCGCAGCATTGCATTTCGCACATCTCCAATTGGCACGTTGGCTACGTACGGTTTGCGAAAGAAGTTCAACGTACACACACAGACTCGCACGGAGACCCACAGACTCGCACGGGGACCCACAGACTCACACGGGGACCCACAGACTCACACGGGGACCCACAGACTCGCACGGGGACCCACAGACTCACACGGAGACCCACAGACTCACACAGAGGCCCACAGACTCACACGAAGACCCATAGACACACACAGATCCCCATATACTCACACAGAGACCCATAGATTCTACACCTGCATTTAAAGGCCCCAACCTATTTTGCTTATGATACATTCACTTAATTGTACATGTGAGAAATCGATAATTTCCATTTTAATATAGTGGTGGGGGGGGGGGGTGCAGCATCTGCTCATGAATGGGATTAGTTGCCAAGTCGATGAACTGAATCGTCATAACGCTGTGAACGGTTGTCCTGATAAAGCAAAAAAAAAAATCGATCGTGAATTGGCGCGTGTGTTCATTGCGCCGCGCGTCACACCGCCCCCCCCCCTCCCCCGCGCAGCTCACCGTGCCTGTGTTTTTGTGTTGCACAGATTGCGTCAAAATGCCCTCTCGGAGGAGGAGTACAAAGAAGTGCTCGCGAAGGACCATCGGATGGACTGAACCTCCTCGTCTTATCTCGAAGGAATTTTACACGGCGCATTAACCAAGGCGCTCTGCACAGAATTAACGACGGTACAACAACGTGTGAATGTAGCGGTGGAAATGAAGCGAATGAAATGGATGAGAGGAAGCAATGGGGGGGGGGCGAATCTGTGATGGTGATGCGTGGCTTCGGTGAAAGCGAAATTGATGGCAGTAAATGATATTGAATGGATTGAATGAGTGATAGCCGCGTAATGAGAACATGAAGAGTCGTGGGTCGAGCTAGGGAACAATGCGTGTGAGTTGTGAGCGAGGAGCGGAAGCTTAGTGAACGAAGGTGACCGCTTAATGTGGAGGGGGAAATTTGTTCCGGTGAAGGGGGGGGGGGGGGTGAGATGAGAGAGCGGGCGACTACGTGGATTGAGCACGAGGAGGAGGAGGAGGAACGGAGAGACAGCAAAGATTGAGAACGTAACTTACGGAGGATACAACAAATACGATATTAGGAAGCCACTTTGAACTTATGCACTTTTAAATCGACGAGATTGAAAACTCATTTCCTTAGAACTGCTTTTTCGTGTTTAGTTTGTTGTCCTTCCCCACGCACCTCCGATTAGCGAGGTTGGCTACGTACGGCGCGAAAGAAGTTCAGCACGCTTACGTACGCACGGATCGTGCGAAACTGCGTGTAACCTATGCAATGAAGATGTAATTATTGTTTCCCGACACCAGGGGTCGGCAGCCAAAATAAGAAGAAGGGCCATCTTTTGTTCGAGTTCGCCCAAATAAAACTCGAGCGCCGCAATGCACCGTGACGAATACGAGACGGTTGGGGTCCTTGATGAACGTCGTCACAGGAAGCGGTCCTTAAAGCAGCCGCGTGCGGCTCCGGTGCCGCCGGTTGCCCCGACCCCCTGGTCTAGACAGTGTGTAGAGTAGGGTGGCAATCAGAATTTGAAGGTTGTTATTTTCAAGGTTGACGGCCGCCTTGATTTTCATTCGTTCGCCTGTTAAAAATGAAGCACAAAGGTGTCTCCCGAGGCGCATGGGCATGGGGGGGGGGGGGGCACCAGGGCTGGATTCAGGTTGGGGGGGGTGGCAAACGTGGCGTTTGTTTAGGGCCTAAAACTGAAGGTGTGGGGGGGGGGGGGGAGAACGCACGATAACAAAACATTAAATTTTTATTCCGAAAAGTAAAGACTGTTTAATCTTACTCTTAGCTCTTTCAGTAAAGTCACGTTGAAGGGAAACAATAAAATAATAATAAATATATAAAACACCATAAATATATTTTTAATTCTTTTATTGTTTCCCTTCCAACGTGACTTTACCGAAAGAGCTAAGAATATGAATTACTGCAGTCACGAAAGCTTTAAATCAAAACTGTTTAATCTATTTCTTTTTTTACCAGTTCGCGCCGCCCATCATGGTGCAGTGCGCGGGCTAAGCCGCCTCCATGATGTGACATTGTGTAGGAAGGAGGTGCTCATCCAGCAGTGAATTACACAAACGGGCTGTAAATTTATGTCGAAGGGACCTTATTGCCGGTATCAAAATGATGAAAAAAAATAAGAGATAAGAGTAGGTTTTACCCTTTGTGGCAATAATAAAACAAGAGGTGTTAAGACGTTCAAACAGCAAATAGCAACCTTTTGCAAGGAATCAAGTTACTGCATTAACCACACACGGTGCGTTGTGCTGAACATGCAAACAAACACGTGGCTCTGATAATATATGCATCGTCTTTGAAACTTGATTGGCCTGGACCAGAGAGAGCCTTCTTTAATTTAAATTATAATTATTTCCCGACGAGGGAGTAATTGCACGAATGAGCTGTATCAGCTCTCCTCACCAACACGCGGGAGACCGGTAAAAGTGGTTCCGGTCCGTTTGTTCCACCGTTAACACACGGGCTCCCTCCTTGATCCACCGCTCTTCTCCTGCCTCCACCGTGTACCCCCTCTCCCATGGCTTCCCCTCATTCCCGTCACCTCATTCCCGGCCGCCGATCGCACATGCCGTCGCGTCTCGGTACCGTGTCTCTCACGTCGCGGCCGCCAATCGTAGAACGCGGTACCCCCCGCGGGGTTGCTCCCGGTCAGGTAGGCGCAGGGATTGACCTCATGGAGGACCATTACGTTAAACGCCCGTTTAACGTGCGTTAACACTGCGCGTTTTCGCTTCAACGCGGTCTTTCGCGGAAACGTTTTCGGTTTTAACGCGCTCCACGCCCGCTGTACGCACGACCCGAGCGCGTGACGGACTACTTTTCTGAGCGGCGTGGGTATTGTCAGCGTTGTTCGGCGATGCGGGTTCTACAGGACTCCAGTGTTGTACTGTAATACTGGTACCGTATTATCACAGTAGCAGTACTGTTATGCTGGTGCTGTCGTACTGATGCCAGGTGTGATGCTCGGCGTGCATTCTCCTTCCTCAGTCTTTATTACAGCATCTTTTTTGTGTACAGAGCGTCATCTCACTCGCTGATCGTCTTCCACTCGGCATATGTCTCGCACACTTGTATTTAAATGAATGACTTTCACACGTAGCATATTTATAGAAATACGATATAAACAACGCATTTAAATATAAACATTTACATGTAAAACGGTGTACTGTTCAGTGAAAATTACGGGGCTGGAACGGTAACCCCAATCTTCACTGTTATTCCTAATGGGAAAATTACGAATTCGCTTTACACGGATACATTTTCAGGAATGCATTCACCTCCCCCCACCCGCATTAAGCGGGGACTTTATAGGGAAATCCACCGCCCCCTGCTTGTTTTTAACCCTCGCCTGCGACTGCCGTGCCTTTCCACACCGGTGTGTTTATATTTTCTCCTGACGACGACAGGTCGAACAGAAGTGCCTTTGTAAATTATGAACTTCACAATGGGAAGACCAACAACCATGCCAGCGTGCCCAGAGAAAGACGTTTTTTTTTGTAATCGGTGTGATGTTTAACTGCTGCCATAACACGTGTAACAAACACAAAAACATGTGCATTAACATTCAGTAGACTTTGACAATCCACTCTCTGATGGGGACCTTTAAACTATAATAGAAGGGCATTCTCGTGTCCGATGGAGTCTCTAGATCAGCTGTTAACTTATTCTGTGGTCTGCGGGGACCGCCTGGTGTTCCGTGAGGCTACAGCGACTACCACAGTCGGAGTCCACGGAAAATACGACAAATTAGTAATACATCATGGGACCTCCTTTGCCGGTACCAAAATATGAGAAGAGGTTTTCTCCTTTTTTCCGGCAACAAAACAGCTGTGTTAAGTTGTTAAAACACCAAACTTAAACCTTTTACAAGGAATCATGTCTGCATTAACTACAATACTTGTGGTCAGAATGCAAACAAAAAACATGCTCTGATAATATATGATCCATTGTCTTTGAAACTGATTGGTCCACACCAGAGAAAGCTTTTTTTATTTTTTTATTTTGTACGCCTTTTGGCGTCCTCTGGTCTAACACCGTTTGAGACGAGGCTCAAAAGAAAGCTGTCTGGTGTGAACCAATCAGTTTCAAGGACAATGCATATATTATCAGAGTATGCTTTTGGTTGGCATTCTGACCACAAGTATTGTGGTTAATGCAGACATGATTCCTTGTAAAAGGTGTGTTTTTGTTGCCAGAAAAAAGGGGAAAACCCCTATTCTCAAATTAACAACATCCTCACCAAACCGCGAGGCAGTGCTGTGGCGTGTGGTGGTCCGAGACATGTTTGGAGGTTCAAAAAGCGGATTCGCCACAAACTCGACGAGTTTGGGAACTGCTGCTCTGGACAGCGAGAACATTGGTAGACTTGTCTGATGGGCTCCCTTGAAAATGCCCGACTGACAGATATTGTGATCCCATCGGAGACCGCTGGAATGCCTAGTGGGTGTCAATATCCTGGTGATTCTTCCTAAAGTTCACCCGTTTTTTTCCTGCCTTTTAAATTGTCCTGCGCTAACCCACTGCGCTAACCCAAAGCGCCACAGTTTGTTGTCCTTCCCCCGCACCTCCGATCAGCACAGTTGGCAACGTATGGTGCGAAAGAAGTTCAACGCACGTTGGTCATAATATGTTAATTTGGGGTGGGGCGGGGGCTCGGAAGCGAGTGGTGTGATACCACCACCATCACGTGTCTTAAGAAAAATGTGCCCTGGGAAGATGGCATGGTCGGCTGCTTTCTCTGGCAGCAGGAAGATGCAGGGGACACATCTTTTGTGTGGCCTGCATGGCGCGTGTTTTTCGGCGCGTGGTAGTGAAACCAGAATGTGTTATTCGTAGAGGTTTCCGTGCTTGCCAAATTGATAAGTGACCAAGCAAATTGAATGTGTGTTTTTTTTGTTAAATGCAATTATTGGTGCCTTGACATAGATCGACCAACCCACTGCACTTAAAAAAAAACTCAGTTTAGTCGAATGTTTTACACTTGCTTAACTTAAAAATGTTTTACAACTACACGCTCACACTTGTGTGCAAATTCTTCGCATGCCTGTGTGGCGCATGCATTTTTACATGCGTATTAAAATCTTCATGTGCTCGCCTGCGTGTGGAGATGTGTACTTACGTGATATGTGCCAACTCCTGGCACAGTAGGGGGCACAGGTGGTGCATCAGCCAGTCGTCTCAGTCGACCCGTGGCACCTGGGTCTGCCCCGTGACCTGCCAGCGGGCGTTCGACACTTCACGTGGCCTCAAGGTGCACATGGCCTGGCACAAGCGTCGTGGTGACGTCACCGCCACTTAGTGGCGAATGGCGGTTGGTGCGTGATACGTGGGACATCTGTGTGAATGTATTGCACGTGGTTGTCTGCGTATGTGTGTGAATGTCTGGCCGTACGGTACGTATGCAAGGCTGCGTCTGCATGTGTGAATATCTTCACGTGTGCGTGTGTGTGTGATTGCCACTGGTTGTGTGTGAATGCCAGTGGTTGTGTGTGAATGCCACTGGTTGTGTGTGTGCGGTAGTGTAGCGTTTAGCGCGCTATGCTACGAAGCCAGCGACCCGAGTTTGAATCCCGCTCGCGGTCAACACCAGCGACGATTGTCTGAACCGGTCCTTGGTCGACTCGGCCTAAAAATGAGTACCTGGTGCGGTGTGTAAAAAAACAAAAAATCGCCACTTCGGAGACCAAGGCGGTCGGGCGTGATGCTGGTCACCCACCGCTTTGTGTGCCGTGCCGGCCTTCATAGGTGCTACTTGCAGGCAGCACTTGCCCTGACAGTCTTACTCAGGCTGTAAGGGGTGGGGGGGGGGGGAGCTTTTCACGGTGAACGTATGAAGGGTTCGGGCAGGGTGAACATTTACTTTGGCACCAAAGCATATCGTGAAGAGGTGGGCAGGACAGAATGTCTCCGTAGGTCTCCGTCTAATGTCAGTGTTGCTTCAGACCCTGGATATGTTGACGTCAGGGTCGTCCATGGGAGGGGGGGGGGGGTGGAGAGGCGTGAGGCCCAGGGCGGCTGCCCCCCCCTATTCGCCGTACCCCAGAGAGGGCTCTGAGAAATATGGAAGGGGGTAGGCAGGACGAGAGAGAGGTCTGTGTTGTCTTGGCTCAGTGTTGTTGTTGGTTAAACCCCTGGCACTATCAGAAGCACGGATCAGACCCTGTGTTTGTTAAGGAGGCAAACCTGTCGACCCCTTATCAGTGCCCTACCTTATTACAGACCAATTCAGACCTTATTGGTCACCCCGTGCCCCTTATACATCTCAACGTTCATCCTACAAATTCCCACCACAAGGGAGAAATACAAATAGACGCAAATTATGGGGGGGGTTTTTGCCCGAATTGAAACGGCCGTACGCCGCACGGACCTTAAAACTAAATTTCCCTGCACAAGAATACGGAGTAAACCGCGTGCGTTGACGGGCATGAGGAGGGGTGGGCAGACATACATGTGTCAAAGGATCAGGATTGCTGTTTAGACCCTGCATGCAATTCGCAGGCGTAAGCTAGGGTGGAGCTAGGGTGGTAGCTACTACATATGTAGTATGTAGTAGCTACTACTTATGTAGGTAGCTACTACTACATTAGTAGCTACGGGCCCCGCACGTTCA